TTGCGCCTTGTGACCATCAGCGCTTCTGCACCCAGCTGGGTCTTGTACCTGTCTTGCCTCACTTGCTCTCTTCTTGACCTTGCTTGTACTGTTACATATATATACCTGCTCTTGCTTGTCTAGCTCTATATATATATGTGTACTCCTGCATGTGAACTGGCCTTGTGGCCTTGTCGTTGTGCTCGGACTGTGTGGTGACTTTGTGATCCACCCTGAGCTTGCTCTGCTTTGCTTGACTGGTCTTGTGACCCCTTGTTCTCCCCCACTTTGCCTATGGGGGTGTGTCAGAACATTATATAGCTTATGCTGTTGTGTAGGCTATAGTGGGGTATCCCATAAGGGGTACAACCCAATTAGGGTTTCCCATATGTACTCACTTCATTCATAGTTCAAACATTCTCGTTCTTATTTCACACATTCTTCACAGGAGGAAATTCGCAGCAGTTCGCAGCAGCAAAGGGAGTCTATTACGTAAAAACCGGGACTGACCGCATTTGGGTATCTGGGTATACACTGCTACGGGAATTACTGTTACAGGAGGCACACGACGGAGTTACCTCGGGGCATTTCGGAGTAGAAAAAACACGGCAGCAACTGCAGCGGTATTATTACTGGCCCGAAATGTTGACCGACGTACAACGACACGTGGCATCGTGTCCCACTTGTCAGCTCATGAAATCATCACGACAGCGGCCGGCGGGACAGTTGCAGCCGATACCACCCCCAGAGCATGCTTGGCAGCAGGTGACGATGGACTTCGTCACGGGGTTACCAGCCGGGGCGAGTGGGAACGACGCGATCCTGGTCGTCGTCGATCGACTGACGAAAATGGCACATTTCGCAGCCTGCAAAAAATCAATCACAGCCGAAGAAACAGCACGCCTCTTCATCTCCACCGTCGTTCGACTGCACAGGATACCAGCCGCGATCATCAGCGATTGCGACACGAAATTCACCAGCAACTTCTGGCGGAACCTGTGGCAGCAGTTCGGCACGCGACTACAATTCAGTTCATCATACCACCCCGAAACCGACGGACAGACAGAACGGACAAATCAGACCATGGAACAGCTCATCAGGGCCACGTGTGACGACCCGACCACGTGGGAACAGCAACTGCCACTAATCGAATTCGCGTACAACTCGCCATCCGCCACGACCCAACAGTCACCATTTTACTTAAACTACGGACAAGACCCGACAGTACCCATGACCCCGAATCCCGACAACCCAGTACCACGAGCACAACAGTTCGCCGAAATATTACAAGCAGCACGGACCCGGGCAGCAGACGCAATAAAAAAAATCGAACATCATCGCTAAACGCAACGCCGACCGCCACCGCAGACCTGTCACTTACCAGCCCGACGACTTAGTTTTACTTGACACTCAGATCCTCCGACTGCCCATCACCCCGAAACTCCGCCCCCGATACTGCGGGCCATTTCGCATAAGCCACATGCTTACACCCGTCACCGCCCACCTCCTCATCCCTGCTGACTGGTACGTCAGCCCCTCATTCCACGTCAGCCTACTTCGCCCTTACGTCCCGTCCACGAGCCAACTGCCACGCAATCGCCCAGCCAGCATGACAAGACCACCAACCGAACCAATCGTCACCCCCGAGAAAATCCTGAGTCACAGAGTTCGCGACCCTCGAGGAGCCCGAAGGATCGAGTTCTTACTCCGCTGGAAGGACCGTACACCCACCGAAGACAATTGGGTTCCCCTGGACAGAATCGAAAACCACCCCGTCCTCACCGAGTATCTACGCAGCCGAAATTTCAGGGATGTACACGCACTTTCGTAAGGAGGACCTCCTTAGGGGGGGGGGTAGTGTAAGGAAAATTCCTTTTCCTTACTTCGCATCCCTGCTCAGCGCGTACATCACTGTAGCACCACAGTCAGCACCGTTACCACTCGCAACCCTCGCATCGACAATCCGCCCGCCACCTTCGCACATCGCACCCCGACCTCACGGCTCGGCGGGTAACTTGCGCTCCGGGCCTCCGCTTCGACACTTTTTCCCAACCTCAGTCCCAGGCCCGTCGCGCGACAACCACAGCCCATTACCGTTACCACTGTAGTTTCGCTATATATTCTTCGCTCATGCCTTCACTCATTGAACTCTTGCTTCGATAGTGCAATTCTAGTTCGTTCACTCAATTGCACTAGTAACAGCTACAAACCATCTAGGGCTCCTTCATTATGTATGATGTCTGATAAGAAACGTATGAATACAACTTGACTCTTGGTTTTCTTTTTGTTCACAAATCGCGCTGGCGGCTCGAGTTCCTGCGAGTGTCGCTTGGGAACCTCAGGGGTTATCGTGAGTCGTTGATGGGATGTCCAAGTTTGCTGTGTCCGTTCATCTCAGCCGTCTGCACAGTGGCGAGCGCGAAACGAACGGATCTGTCTGCCTGCCATGCTTCCACACCAAGGACTCTGGTTTGGCAGAGTTTGACGGCGTCTGGTTTGGCGGCGCGGTTTCGTGAAAAATGGTGGCAGAAATTTCATCTTCCAGCTGTTGTGTGGCTTTTTTATGTCGGAGTGGGGAACTGGGAAAGACGAAAGCCGAGCCGTGTTGCACGAACCAGGATGACACATACGAACCGCCAAAATGTTGCGACTCGAGACCTACTGAGCAGGACTCCCCGCGCTTTCCGGTTGCCCGAGAGACGAGCGGAGGAACACTGCCAAGCCATTTTTTGCAGCGAATCCAACGAGGTCGTTACATTGTTTTCGCGATCTCGTGAAGCATTCGCAAAGTCAAATTGTTGCTGGGGAATGCATGATTTGCAGTTCCTACTCACATGAAAGGAGGGATGGAATCCAAGCGTTGGGCGAGACACGAGATGGCAGGAGCATGCAGCATGGCACGCGCACCAGCAGCTGAAGCTGTAATTTGCGAGGGCTAGCCCAGAGTTCAGGGACTCAGTCCAGTTGTTCTCTGCTCAACTGATTGACAGGGAAGGGAAGTCACTATGGTTCACATGAACGTCACGGTCACGACGGCGACTCTCTCCTCAGGTCATTTGCTAGCCCGAGCGAGCTTCCGTTGCGAGCCTCACAGAGGGCCTAGTCGTATTTCGCTTTGCTCCCCCGCTTCGTGAGCTCGTAGGTCTTACGTCTCTGCATGCGTGTCCCATTCGAGCGTTAGAAGGCGAGCTCTTATTTATCGACGTGACTATAGCAACTCTCTTTGTCGAGCGCATCTCAAGTGCCGCCTAGATCACCATACGTCCCGCCGTCACGATATCCCGACCGTTATTTGTAGCCCGTGACGAATATCCACCGCCTCTTGTTTCCCCCCCCCGCCATGCGCCCCGGTGGGGCTTCGCCGCTGGTTTTTCAAACTACTATTAGGTCGCTCCGCTCACGAAAGACGGCTCTCGCCCGTTATGATTAAGTCTCACTCGGGGGGAAACGAGACGAAACGGCCAAAACGCGAACGAGTCGATCAGGAGAACCATGCCGCTGCGAGACAAGATACGGCGTGCGGGCTGGGGAAACGGCCCAACGGATTGCGGGTAGATAGCGCGACGCGGGGTGCACTAGTGAGGAGATTAGGTGAGGGCGCGAGACATTACGAGGGTAGGATTGAAGCCACAGAGCATAAGAATGATACCTTTTCTCGAGAGCTTAGAGAAGCCACACAGGAAGACGACTGGGACCGCGAGGTGCGTCACGGTTTAGTGCCGACGTCCTCGCACTCCCGTCCCCTGCCGGTGCTGTTCGCTCAGCCGCGCCAATCAGACGCCGGGATTCCAGAGGAAATCGACGAGCGCCGGCTGCGCGAGCGAGAAACCGGGGACGGTGGAGATGCAGGGACTGAGCGGATCGGAGAAATCGAAGGGATGGGAGGATTCGGAGGGATTGCGGCGAGTGGGGACGCTGTCAAACCGCGCAGCTGGCTGCGGGCAGCGGCTTGCGACGCGAGGCCGCGCGACGGTCGGGATGTGGACGGCTTGGTTTGCCGCCCAAGACTGGCACGTTCAAAGAAGAAAAACGCGGATTTCGCGGAAGTAGACGTAATCCAGCAGCTCCGGCCCGTCCGCTGCGCGCCGAGCAGGTCCAGTGGCCTGGCGAGTCGCAGCAGACTAGTGCGAAATAGACCGCGCGGTTCCAGTGGCTGGTGTAGCGGTGTGATGGCCTCCTTGGTCCTGCCGTCGTGGTCCGCCGTGCGGCTCCTGCTGCTCCTCTTACCGTTGGCGGTGGGCCCCTTGGGGTTTTGCGCGCACACTGTTCGCGCTGCTGCTCCCGCTCCGGCAGTTGCGGCAGATGGTTGCGGGGAGGGATGCGCGGGGATAGGCGCAGGGAGAGGGAGCGGGGAATGGGAGGGAGTGGGGGTGGTTCGTCCGAGGGCGGGCAGACGGTTAGGGGCTGTGGAGGAGCGGAGAAATGGCAGGAACAAGGCGACGGTCGTGCAGCAGCAGTCGCAGGATTCGCAACAGTCGCAGGACTCGCAGCAGTCGCAGGATTGGCAGAACCAGCAGAATCAACAAAATCAGCACAACGGGCAGAGCCAGCAAGGCGGGCAGAACCAGCAAAACGGGCAGAATCAGCAAAACGGGCAAATTCAGCAAAACGGGCAGAATCAGCAAAACGGGCAGGACGGGCAGAACGCGCAAAACGGGCAGGACGGGCTAAATCAGCAGCAGCAGCAGCAGAGCTTGGGGCAGCACGACAACTCGTTGCAGGAGTGGCAGCAGCAGCAGCAAGGCGCGGAGTGGACGGCGGTGGGCGGCACGACGAGGAGCGGCATCGTGGGAATACCGCAGGAAGGTACGGCGGGACTCGAGCGGACTCGAGCGGGACTTGAGCGGGACTTGAACGGGGCTCGAGCGGGACTTGAGCGGGACTTGATCGGGACTTGAGCGGGACTCGAGCGGGACTTGAGCGGGACTTGAGCGGGACTCGAGCGGGACTTGAGCGGGACTTGAGCGGGACTTGAGCGGGGACATGGGAAGAATAGGGAGCAGCGACACGAGGTGGCTTGCATGTGGGTTTGGGCGTGTGGTCGTCGAAGCGCGAACGGAGGAGGAAGGAGGAAAGAGGGTCGAAGGGCGCTCACACGCGAGCCAGTCTTTGTGCGCGGAGGTTGGGAGATTGAAGGGTGGCGCAGCCGGGAAGCGGGCAGGCGGGTTGCTCATGGAGGCGGAAGAAAGCGCGTGCGAGGCGCACGGGGCTGTGGGAGAAGGAGGCGAGGCGGCGGTAGGAGGAGGCGGTGGATCAGAGGAGAAGGAAGAACGGGGGAAGAGTAAAGGGCGTTGTCGGCGCTCTGGTGATTTGGATCACGAGTTTCCATGGTTCCAATCATTCTCTGACTGCTTTGGCGATTCACATACCTCACTCCTTCTAACTCACTTCCTCACCCTCCACAACTAACCCCTTTCCACGCATCCGCGTCTCTCGCGGCGCCCTCTCCGCTTCCCCACCAGCGTCGCAGCTGGCGCAGGTGAAGGAGATTTTTGACCATGATGGTCGCTTGCAGTCGTGGGACGCCCAACGAGACTGCTCCACGTGGCAGTTCGTGGCGTGCAACGCGCAGGGCCACGTGATCGCGATGTGAGTGTGTCGTGCTGTGTGGGAGCGCGCTGACGTGGCATGGTGTAGGATGTGTTATGCAAATCCAATTCATGCGATTGCATGCGATGCGATACACCTGAAGGCGAGCTTTCGCCACCACGCCAAAGCCTTGGCGTGCGATTGATATAAACTGAAACAGCGTCACTCCGAAGGAAATGCGGACATGGCCGCCATCCCCCTCATGCTTCCTTGCGCTCCTCCCCGCCGCCCCCTGCCGTCCCCTCCCCCGCCATCAGCTCGCTGCGGGACTTCAAGGCGAACGTGACGGCGCTGCCGGACGGCCTCTTGTCGCTGCAATACCTCACCTACCTGTCAGTGCCCGCCCGCATACGCGCACACACCATTCGCTCACACGCTCACGCGGAAACGCATTCACACACGCAGATTACGCAGTGTCACAGGCGCGCGCCATAGCACTCGCCGCCTCATTTCTCCTGCCTCTTCCCGTGCGTTCCCCCCCCCGTCGCCCTCTCTCCCCGTGCTGCAGCAATCTGGCGAACAACTACTTCCGCGGCTCCTTCCCGTCCGTGCTCACGCTCCTCACCAACCTGCAGACGCTGTCGGTGCCCTGCCCTGCCCTGCCTTTCCGTGCCGTGCCTTTCTGTGCGGTGCCCGTCCTTTCCATACTGTGCCATGCCATGCCATGGTATCCCATGCTGTGACGCTCGCCTTGACTCCATGCGTTGACCGCGAATTGCACAGCTCCCATCTGTCGTGCGCTCCGCCGTCCAATTCTGTCTCTCCGCCTTGCTTCACGCACGCGCATACTACTTGCGCACTATCCGCACGATCACGTTCCTTCACTCGCTCTCCGTCGCCTTCTCATGTCGCCCCTCGTGTCCATGCCCGTTGCAAAACTCTTGGCCGTCCGATCACCCACGTGGTCCCTCCCCGTGGTGCATTCCCGCAGCGATCTGAGCGCGGCGCCGCTAGGGTTTGGCGCGTGGGGCGTGACGGGATCGCTACCCGATGGCATCTCCGTGCTCTCGCGCCTCACTGCGCTGTCAGTGCCTCCTCCCTCACGCCATTGCGGCTCCACATTAGAGATTGACTTGCACATTTAGGCTTAACCCCTCATAGTTGAGAGTTCAGTGAAGCTTCCATGGAACACGTTCGGTGAAACACACGCACACGCACACGTGCTCGCGAACACTTATGCAAGGAATCGCCCGCCCTTGTATACGTGCTGCACTGCACCGTTTGTCCGCGCATACCGTCAACGCCCCTCCCACCGTGCCCTGTGTGGTGCGTCCTTCGTCCGCCCACCAGGTCGCTCGCGTACAACCGCCTGTCGGGGTCGTGTTTTGTGACGCCTAAAATTATGCGGTGCCCCTCGCTTCCCCTCGCTTCCCCTCGCTGCCCTCGCCTCCCTTCGTCCCCCTCACCAGGTCGCTGGCGTACAACCGTCTGTCGGGGTCGCTGCCCAACGCCATCGCGTCGCTCGTCAACCTGCGCAGCCTGTCAGTCGCCGTTACTTTCTCTCATTCGTTGCTGCCTGGAGCTTGCTTCTGCGAATGCTCAAAAGCGCCCCGCTCCTCGTCACTTGCTGCTCCCCCTTGTTCCTTCAACGCTGCGTTTCCTGCCCTCGTGCCCTCGTTCCCGCGTTCCCTGTTGGCTTGCCGGTATCGGGATCCCATTCTCTCTTGCTGTCTCTTGCCCCCCTGCCCCGCCCCTAAATCTCTCGCGCTCTAATCACGCGTTGTGCGACCAGCAATCTGTCGTTCAACTACTTCTCCGGCTCCCTGCCAGCTGCGCTTGGCGACCTTCCTGTGCTGGAAGACCTGTGAGTGCGACTGTACCCTCCTCTCCCCTGCACACTCGCACACACACCATCGCCACACACAAGGCATTTTAGTGCACCAGGTCCGAGCAAGAAGCGCTCCCCACACCACCACTAAGCCGTGCTGTGCAGTTGCCGTAACCATCTGCCACTCTAGTGGCCTTCAGGGGCTTGCTGTGTCTGTCTTCGTGCTGCCGCTGCTCTTCAACCTCTCTCTGTGTCTCGCTGTGTGCCTGTGTGTCTTACTATGCCTGTGTGCCTGTGCGTGCAGCGATCTGACGAGCAACGACTTCTCAGGACCCGTTCCCAACTCCTTCTCCGGCCTCCAGACTCTCCAGACCCTGTCAGTCACCCACCTCCTTCCATACCTTCACCTCCTCGCCTCTCTTCCCCTCTCTGGCTTTTTCTCCCTCTCCCTCTTCCTCTCCCACGCCCTTCTCGCCGCCATCTCATGCAATGTTCCTCGTTGCTCACTGCCCTCCGCGCTTCCTGCAAGTCCACCACTAGCGTCCCACCTTCTGTCTCGAACCCCAGCAACGTCACAGAGAAACCTGCCCACGCCCCACCCTCACCCGTTGCCTCTTCCCTCTTTCCCCCTCGCCCCTTCCTCCCTCTCCCTTCCCCTCTCCTCCCCTCCTCTCCCATCCTTTCCCCTCTTCTCCCCTCCCCTCCTCTCCTGTCCCTCCGCCACTGCATTCCCCCTCTCCCCGTGCAGGGCGTTGAGTTCAAATGGCTTCTCGGGACCGCTGCCCAACGTGCTCACCATCGCCACCAACCTGCAGTCGCTGTACCCGCCGCACTGCCCTCTCCTTGCTTCCTCCCTGCCCTCTCCTTGCCTCCTCCCTGCCCTCTCCTTGCCTCCTCCCTGCCCTCTCCTTGCCTCCTCCCTGCCCTCTCCTTGCCTCCTCCCTGCCCTCTCCTTGCCTCCTCCCTGCCCTCTCCCTGCCTCCCTGCCCTCTCCCTGCCTCCCTGCCCTCTCCCTGCCTCCTGCTCACAGCGTGCAGTCGCGTTTTTATCCCCTCCCTGCGTGCCGTCTTCCCTGCTCATTCTTCCAGCCTGCACTACTGCTGCTGCACCTCCTTTGGTTGCTTGTGCGCTGCTGTCGACTGTGCTGCTTGCTGCTGGTTGTCGTCGCTGGTGGCGTCGCTTCACCAGCTGTTTGTTTGCCCGTGTGTGTGTGTTTGCGATGCGCGTGGCAGGTCGTTGAGTTTCAACGCGTTTGAGGGCTCCATTCCCCGCGGCATCACGTTGCTGTCCACCCTCCGAGTGCTGTCAGTGCTGCCACACCCCTCTGCCACACCCTCTGACCCACTGTCCCGTTCATTGCTGCTCTGATTTGCACTACCAGAACCTCCCTTTCCCCATCACACACCCTCTTGCACTCTCACGCACTCTCTTGCATTCCCTTGCTCTTCCTCAACCTCTCAACATGTGTCTCTCCCCGCCCTCTCCCTACCGTACGTGTGTCTCCCTTTCCGGTGGTGGGGATGTGCAGGGAGCTGGCACATGCGAACATCTCAGGGGACTTTCCCTCCATGGACCGATGGACCAACCTCGTTGCCCTGTGCGTGCTCTCTCATGCACGCTCTCCCACTCGCTGAAACCCACCATGCCAACGCATAGCTATGCTTGCTATCTGAACCATCCAACTTCCGCTGTTGCGTTTCCTACACCCTCCCACTCTTTCCCTGCTTCCGCTTCCATATTGCACGGAAGCACCCCTTATGTTATCTCTCCTTCCTCTGTTTCTCCACATGGCATGGCATGGCATGGCATGGCATGGCATGCAGGGATCTATCTTTCGCGAGTGGGCTGCGCGCGGTGCCTCTCTCCCTGGGCTTCCTTACCAACCTCACTAGACTGTAAGGCCTGCACCACCTGCTGCACCTCTCTCACTTTCCATAAACGTGCATGGTCGCTCCAGTCCCCTCACACTCATCCCATCCTCGCTCTCACTGCGCTTGCCTCAAACGTGAATGAGGAGGACTCTAAAAATCACTTGCCTGTGATGTAGACTCGTATGCGCCACCGCTGTTCCAACTCCTCGCCTGCTCATCCACCCTCTTCCAATTAGTCCGGCCGACCTCCCGAGTCCCGCTCCCCTCCCCCCCTTCCCCCTCTCCCGCTCCCCTCCCCCGCTCTTCTCCCTCACTCCTGCCCGTCTCCTTCTCCCCTCTGGCTGCCCCCACGTGCAGGTCCATAGAGCGCAGTGGGCTCACAGACACGCTCCCCACGCAGTTGTGTGGCTTGTGGCAGCTGCGACAACTGTACGTCACGCCCTGCCATGCTCGCTCACATGCTGCTACATGCCTGCCTCATGCTGCCATGCGCCAACATACATACGTGCATAGCCGGCCCTGCCCGTGCACAACCCCAGCTTGCACACCCATCATCCTCACCACTCGCCTCGCCGCCTCCTCCGCTTCTTGCGTTCCTGCTGCTTCTCTCTGCGGTCCGCTGTCTCCTCATTCTCTTGCTCCTGCTCCGTGCTGCCTGTGCCTGTGCCTGTGCGTGTGTGTGCCCATGCCCATGTGTGTGACCCCAGGTCCCTGGCGCACAACGCCATATCGGGGGTTCTTCCTGACTGCATGGGCAACCTGCAGGCACTTGAATCACTGTTAGTACTGCGTGCCATGCCCTTCCATGCGTGCACCCTGCTCCATGTGCCATGCACCACGTGCCGTGTACCATGTATCCTGCACCATGCACCATATAAGTAGCATCTGTGATCGTCTCTTCATCTGTGTGTGTGTGCGCGTGCTGCATGCTGTGCACTGCTCACTGGCAGGGACTTGAGTCACAACAGTCTCGCCTCCAGTCTCCCCACCACCATAGGCAACCTGCGGCAAATCACCGCTATGTGAGGCTCCCTCATGCCGCCCGCACTTTGGAGTGCACTGCACCACCCACCAACCCCACGCCTCTTCGGATCCCATCTTCCTGCTATCCTCTCCTGATAGTTCCATCTTTGCTTCACCCTCCCTCTTCTCCTGTCCCCCCCTTGCCTTCCCTCAATGCACACTCTTCTCACAACCCTCCGCCTTCCCGGATCCCCATATGTCGACTTGCCCCTGTGCAGCAAGCTGGCGTTCAACTCGTTTGAGGGGCCGCTGCCTACGAGCCTGCAAGCGCTCTCATTCCTGCAGCACCTGTACGCACCCATATGCGATTCTTGAGCCTCAAACTCAAATACTCGCATGCGCTCATTCGCTGCTCTCTGCTTCCCTGCTCCCTCTGCTCTGACGTTACACACACATATACGCATGTGCACAAGCACATATGGTCATGACCAGTGGGTTGGTTGCACCTTCTCCCCCTGCTGCTCTACCCCTTCTCCTCTCTTACCCTCTCCGGAACCTCACCTTTCCGCCCTCCCATTTCCGTGTCGTGTGCTCCCCAGGTCGTTGAGTCACAACGCATTGACAGGGCCGCTGCTACCCGGGCTGGCTGCAATCACAGGGCTCACAGCACTGTGAGTGGTGATGAGTGTTGTGGTGATGCGTGTCGTGCTGATGCGTGGTGGCAGTCTAAAATTCACGCGCCCACTTGCTGCTTTATGAGTGCACCAAGCACCACTCCTGTACTCGTGGATGCGATGTGCTGTGGTGTGGTCGTGTGTACGTTTCTGGTGTGCCAATGCACTCGTCCATCCACCCCCCTCCCACCACCCCCCCTCTCCATCCCATGGTATATGCACACAACTCAACTGCCACAGGGACATGAGTGTTGATGCCTTCAACAACTCTCTCCCACTCGAGTTGACTTTTGAGTCGACTCATTAGCTTCAGTGCACCCATCCGTGCCCTCCCTCCCCCCCTCCTCCCTCCCATGGCATGTGCACACGGCTCAACTCAACTGCCACAGGGACATGAGTGACAACTCCTTCAACGGCTCCCTCCCACTCGAGTTCGCCTCACTCTCATCACTCTCCATTCTGTAAGGCCACGCTTGCCCAGGCATGCCGTAAAAGCCATCCCCATGCTTTGATATGCTATCCTGCCCTCCCCTCTAACCCTCTCGTCTCCCCTAGTCATCTGCTTTGTCAGTTCACACTGCCTACCGTGCACCCTCCCTTGCCGCCCAGGCGCCTCTTCCCTTCCCACTTCCATTCCTCTTATGCACATTCCATGCCATATTCCCCCTTTTATTTCTCCCTTCTCTCTTCCCCCCTCTCCCACCGCTTCCTCCTCTCCTCCCTCCCGCATCAGCTCTCTAGCGCGGTCAGGCATAGCAGGAGCGCTGCCACATCGATTCAACTACTCCACGCTCCTCCTACTGTACGTCCGCGCCTTGCAGCCGTACCTTACCTTGCCGCTCAACCCGTCTTCTCTTGCGTGTCTCTCCTAGCATGCACTTCTCCTCCCCCTCGCTTCCTCTCCAACTCCTTCCTTCCGCCGCCACTTCCACCTTCTCTTCCCTGCTCGCTCTCTTTCACACGCATTCCCTCATGCTCGCACACCTTTCACGTACTCTGGTCAAGTACTCGGGCATGCACCCACATGCCACCACGTTATCAATCTTATCATGTCAACAATCCATACACCATACCGTCGCCCTGGCAGGGATCTGAGCGGCAATCGCCTCAGGGGAGAGCTACCTCGGGGATTTTTCCCTGCTCTAAGCCTCCTGTGGGTTTGCCTTCCTCTCTCCCCGTTCTTCATCTCTTTCTCTCCCCTCTCCCCACTTGCCTCCCTACCCCTGTTACTCACTCCTCGCTAGCCCTTCTCGTTCATGTTCTTCTTGTTTCCTTCTTCTTGTTCCCTTCTTTTTGTTTCCGTCTTTACATGCAAGTGCCCTTGCACAAGGCACTCAAAAGCGACTCATGATCTGGTGGACGGTGGTGACTTTTGAGTCGACTCAAAAGTCACCTCTGTTGGACGGTGGTGATACGAGAACTCAAGGCTTGTCCAGCGGCACGGCTGCTGCGCTGCATCTACCTGCAGACCCATCTCTGAATGAGCCCTCCTTGTTTCCTCGTTTTGATCTGTGCTTGGTGTGTGTGGGGCTGGCGGGTTCGCATGTGTGCGCCTGTGTGTGCCTGTATATGCCTCTCTGCATCTGTGTGTGTGTGTATCTCCTGTGGGCCCTGTCATGTGTGCTGCCACGTGTGCAGCAATCTGGGCTCCAACCGGCTAGTGGATGACGTGGATTCCTTCTTTGCTCGCGCACACGCTCCGCAGCTGCAGTCCTTGTAACCACCATCCCACACACACGCCCCACACACACGCCCCACACACACGCCCCACACACACGCCCCACACACACGCCCCACAAACACACCCCACACACGCGTGCCACACACACACCCCACAGACACACCCCACACAGCGTTTCACATGTTTTTTCCCCTCTCCCCTTCCATTCTTTCTCTCTGCCCTCCCTTTTCCGCATTGACATCCTTCTCCACCGTCTCTCCATACCTCCACCCGTCCCTGCCCTCAAACCCACCCTTCCTTCGCCCTCACGCCTTTCCTCCCCCCTCTTGTCCCTTACCTTCCCTCTACCCCTCCCTCCTTCCCCTCCGCTCCTGAACCCCACACACAACCCATCTCCACCCCAGGTTGCTAGGCAACAACACGCTATCAGGCTCACTCCCGGACTTCACGTCTGTATCGCCAGCGCTGTACCTAGCAGCGTTCAACGGCAACGCCATCATGCACACGCCCAAGCAGCTGCTCTCCAACTCCTCGCTGCGCCTCATGTCAGTCCTCCCTCCCACCCTCCCTCCCTCCCAACCCCCACCCTCACGCCCTCCCTCACGCCCGTCCCGCCCCCCCAACCCTGCACTGCCCTGCGCTATGCCTTGTCCTGTTCATCCCCGCTGCCCGCACTCCGCTTGACTGCTTTGCTTTGCCTTCCTCTGCTTTGCTTTGCACCCCATTGCCTCTAGTTCTTCCCACCGTCTTTCCACTGCCCCTGCTTCTCCCCAGCTGCCCTCGCAGATCTCATGTCTCATCCCTCCATCTCTCACCCCCCTCCATCTCCCAACCCTCCTCCCGTCCCCACTCCCACGCATGCCATCCAGCCTATCAGACAACCCAGTGTGCATCGACCCATCACCAGCCTCCCTCGCAGCGTGCTCCCCGCCGTCGCAAGACCAGCTCTCCTGGACCGGCATCCCCGTACCAGCATGCATCAACACCACGTGCCAATTCGACACCCTTGCGCCATCGCCGCCGGTGTATGCGGCGCGGGCCGTGTGTGTGTGCGTGCCGGTGGCTGCTCTGGACCTGCTGCTGCTCGTGCCGCCGGTTGCGGCGTTCAATGGCGCGGTGGCGGGGCGTCTGCAGGCGGCTCTTGCCGACGCTGTTGCCATGCCTCGGGAACAGGTATGGTGGGCGGGCGGTCAGCAGTGCGGGGAGAAGGGGGGGTAGTAGGGAGGGAGCGGATGGGCTGGCGGGGTGATGCGGCTTCAAACACCTTCAGCTTGGTTCATGTGTGGAACACAGTCCGTCATCCATACTTGCATCTGCATCAGCGCACTATCGTTAACTTGCCCGAGGCCTGCTGTATCCCCCTCCTCACCCACCTTCCTAATACCCTCTGGCTTTTTCCTTCCTCAAAACCCCATCCCCCGTTTCTCCCCTTCCCACTGGCTCTTCTCCGCCCTGTGCGTGTGTGCTTCCCCGCAACAGTTGAGGATGCACGAGGCGGAGGCGGTGGCGCCATCACAGCAGAGGGTGCGCGTGCACGTGTACCCGCCTGCTCTCTCCGACCCAGACGCTGCGCTCGCACAGCTCAAGGCGTCGCTGCGCCTGCTGCGCGCCGCGCTGCCCATGCGCCTCGACTTCTTCGGACCCGCGCAGGAGATGGGTGAGCACAGCGGCGTGCTTTGCTTTGGTTGGGGCGCGTATAGTGATACATCTCAGGGCGCCTTTTCAAGGGCTGCAGTGCAGAATTCGCCTCAGATTTCACTCTTTTCCATCGCTTAGAAAGTCGCGGCCCATGAGCCTGGCCTTCTTTGGTCCCGTGCTGGAGATGGGTGGGCATGGCTCATTGCATGCTGTGGCATGGCATGGGGCTGGTTGTGGTGTTGGTGCGGCTTCCACCAGCTGGGCATGCCAAGCACCTTCCCCACTCACTTCCCTCTCACATATCCCCCTCTCACCTATCCCCCTCTCACCTGCCCCCCTGTCTCCTGCCCCTCGTGCGTTGTATGGTGCAGTGGAGGACCCGCGAGTAGTGAGTCCGCTTGCTGCACTCAACGCATCCACCACTGCCAACTCCACCAACTCCCCTTCAGGTACCACCCTCCTTAGGTTCCACCTACCTCAGGTTCACCCTCATCAAACTTCAACTCTTGCTTCTTGCTGCCCCGTCTGCTCTGCTCCTCACCTTTGTTAAGTCAACTCATCAGTCAATCACGAATCCGGCCTGTTCTGTGCCCCCTTCAACCACCCCCTTCCCTCCCCCCTCACCACCCCCCACCCCTCCCCAGACGCGTCCGCTGTGAGTTCAGTTCAGCCATGGTGTGGACCATTGTGTCTGGTCGTGGGGGCTCTGCTGCTCACAACTTTGAATCGGCTCAATGCTCACTCACTCACACCTCTCGCCTGTGCTGTGTTTCTCCCTGCACCCCTGCGCCCTTCCCACCAGACTCGTCCGCGGTGAGTTCAGTTCAGCCATGGTGTGGATCATAGTGTCGGTGGTCGTGGGGGCTCTGCTGCTCACGTCGTTTGAGTCGACTCAACGCTCACTCACACCTCTCGCCTGTGCTCTGTGCCTCCCTGCACGTGTGTCCTCCCTCCTTCCCCTCCCCCCTTCCCTCCCTCCCTCAGACTCGTCCGCGGTGAGTTCTGCCATGGTGTGGATCATTGTGTCGGTGGTCGTGGGGGTTCTGCTGCTCACCTCGCTGCTGCTGCTGCTCTTCCTCCGCCGCCGCTCACTCGCAGGTACGAGCCCATGAGTTGTTTTGCATGCACGCACACTGCAGCGCTTCACTCAACACCTCAGCCCATGTCACCCATGAGTGATTTTTATGAATTCTGAATCATTGATCACAGCATGTGGTGACAGCAGCTAGCATGTTCCACTCACTCCGACTCCCTACCTGCCCGCACGGAAGGCAAACCCTACCCTTCCCTTGCGTCATCTCCACCCAACCCCTCCCCATCTCCCGCCCGTCCCCTCCCCATCCCCTACTCCGCCGCCCTCTCTCCCCTGGACCACCAGCCTGCAACGAGTGTGACGACACCAAGGCCTTCGCTGCAGGATCCGCCTCCTCCTCCGCCCTGCAATCCGCACGCACGTCCGGCCCTCTGCCCCCCCCGTCTGCCACCGCCCCCGCTGGTGGCGCTGCAGCGGGGGGAGCGACAGGAACCGCAGCAGGAGGAAGAGGAGGGGGGTTAGGAGGGGGGGAAGGGGAGGGGAATGGAGGGATGTCGCTGGTAGAGAGTGTGCGGCAGCAGCTGGTGCGGCCAATGACCCTCGCAGAGCTGACGGAAGCCACGCAGGGGTTTGCGGAGGAGCGGGAGCTGGGGTCGGGGGCGTACGGCACGGTGTATCGGGGGGAGGGTGCGGACGGGCAGCAATGGGCGGTGAAGCGCAGCAGGCTCGTGTCGCGGGACACGATGCAGGTGTTCCGGAAAGAGGTACGTGTGGCGGTGGTGGTGGTGGTGGTAATGGTGGTTTTTCTCTCTCTTGTTCCTCTCATTCCATTAATTTTCTCTCGTTCCATCAGTGCACCCCCCCCCCCCCCCCCCCTTTGAGACCTGACCTGTTCTCCCCTATTGCTTTTCTCTACCTGCCCCCATTCCCCCCTTCCCCACCCCCATCCCCCCTTACCCATCCCCCCTTTCCCCTTCCCCCATTCCCCTTCTCTTCCCCGTCCCCTTCAACCCCTTCCGCCCCCACCCCCCTGTTCCCCATTCCCCTTTCGCCACTGTGGTGCGGTGGTGCGGTGGTCATGCAGGTGAGTGTGATATCGCAGATGAGTCACCGGCATCTGGTGAAGCTGCTGGGGTACTGTGACACGGACAGGGAGCACATACTCGTCTACGAGTTCGTCCCCAATGGCACCCTCGCACAGCACCTCCGCCCCAAACGTGCGTCTCTCTCCTCTCTCCTCACTCCTGCCTGCTCCTGCGCGCTCTCTCTCTCCCTCTCACTCCTCTTCCACACGCACTTGCATCCCGGCCGCCTTATCCCCGTCCCATCCGCCGCCCCCTCTCCACTCTCTCTCTCTCTCGCTGCCTGTAGCAAACGAGCTCCGAGCTGCTCTGAAAGCGCCTGAAATCCCTCTCGTCCGCCATTCCCAAACCCCAACCTTTTCGCCTCTCTTTCTCTCTCCCTGTGTGCAGCGGGCGAGCGGTGGGCTGCGCTGTCGTTTGAGCAGCGCGTGGACATAGCACTGGGCACGGCGCAGGCGCTGCAGTACCTGCACTCGTTCGGCACGCCTGCTATCATCCACCGCGACGTCAAGAGCGACAACATCCTGCTCACTGATACCATGCAGGTGAGACCAGTCACTCACTCTTGTGCGCATACATTCATGCCATGCATGCACGCATGGAAGAAGGCAGGCAGGCACTGCATCATCCCCCGTGATGTCAAGTCGGACGACATCCTGCTCACAGACACCATGCAGGTGAGAATAATCACTCACTCTTGCTCGTACACAGTCGCCACGCACATCCACGCATGTGCGCTGCGTGCTCACCCACCCCCACCCCCCCCACCCCCCCATATAACCTCTTTCATACCCTACCAGGCGAAGGTGTCGGACTTTGGGTTGCTCAAGGACATGGACGATGCAGATGCGGCGACGAGCAAGGTGGCGGGCACACCGGGGTACCTGGACCCTGAGTATTACCGCACCTTCAAAGTCACCACCAAGAGCGACGTCTTCAGGTCAGTGGCCTCTCGTACCTTCACTTCTCGTGGCACGACTGGTGGTAGGGAATCTGCCCCTCCGCTCCCCTCTTCGCCCCTTCACTCACCCTGCCATCCCTTCATCTTCGCGGCTTTGTGCAGCTTTGGAGTGGTGCTACTGGAGCTGGTCACGGGGCTGCCACCCACCTTCGCCAACCCCAACAAGGAGACCGAGGGCATGATCTCACTCGCGGAATGGGTGCGTCCCAACATCCATCCTCCGCCTCCCTCTTCCCTCTCTTCGCTCTTCCCTGCCCCACTCTCCATCCTCTTGCCTTGGGTTATGCAGTTCCCATATTCGTTCTCTACCCCTTCCCATCCCACTCTACCATTCTCCACCTTCGCCCATCATCCCATGCGCCCTTCGCCTCTTCCCCATGCACAACCCACCCTCCCTCACATCCCCCAATACCCCCCTGCATAAACCCCCGTATCCTCCCACTCCATCCCCCACAGGCCTTGGCTCGCCTAGGCCCGGACCATCTAGAGGCGCGGCTGGACAAAGTCGCAGACGTGCGCATGGAAGGTCAATACGTGCGGTCCGCGCTGCGGCAAATGGTGGAGCTGGGCACGCAGTGCCTGCGCCTACTCGGCAAGAACCGCCCCGACATGCACGAGGTCGTGTGGCGCCTGCAGGAGGTGCAGCAGGACATGGCGCTCGCTAGAGGACAAACGGCGCCGCCCCGCAGCCGGAGCGACATGGATGCGGAAGAGGCGATGGCGTATGGGTCGTTCCCGACTTCGTGGATTGGGGTGGGGTCGCGGTCACATGTGGAGGCGGGCGGAGGAGGAGCGGCAGCAGGGAGTGGGGTTGCAAAGGGGGGGCCGGGGGAGCAGCGGGAGAGGGGGGAGTGGGGCAGCGGCAGGGTGTCGTCTATGCGGAACCCGCAGCTGTTTGTGAAGCTCGGGGGTGGTGGGGGCGGTGGGGGTGGTGGGAAGGGTGTGGAGGGACAAGTAGCAGTGGACAAAAGGGGTGGGAGTAGGCAGGGGAGTGGGGTGACGGGGTCGGGAGGAGGGAGGGGAGTGAGCAGCAGCGGCAGTGGCAGTGGCAGTGGAGTGGTGATAGATATGCGGTTTTCTTCCTCTGCATCCATGTACATGCCTGTGCCTACGGATGCAGCCATGCCAGGCAGGAAGGGCCCCTCTAGGCCGTGGGGTGCCTAATAAAAGCCAGGAGAAATTGCGCCCAGCGTGGAAAGTTCACCTCTGCATTGCATGCAGAGCTCCTACCGTGTGGCTTCTCTCAGTGGGCTTGTCTAACATGCCCTGTTGCGCTTGGCGAGCTTTGCTTGGGCATCAATCGATAACGGGTATCGAGGACCGTGGGCACACATACACACATGGTGTCTCTTCTCTGCATTGCAAACTGCTTTTGCGGGACATGTGTGAAGGAAGGTCATGTGCCTCGACTACGCCCTTCTCATGTTTTTTTTTTTGGTTGCAGAAAGGCTATAAGTAGGAATGCATGCGTCAATCCTAATTGCTGGCCGAGTACTAGCTTAGTTGCTGAGTTGATGTTTTTATTTATCATCTTGTAGAATGCTGGTGTAGCCCAACTGACTTGCATGCTTTGTCTCAGTTAATTATGAAAGTGTTCATATCCTCTAGTGGAATGGAAGTGTTACTTGCTGTTGTTATATACAAGTGTTCGTTTCCGCTCTATACCCTACCAAACTGTAGTAGATTGCCATCATTACCATCTCTTTGAACCTCATTTTGACATGCCTTTCCTACACGCCCTTATGCAGCATTCAAATGTGATTATCCTCGAACCTATGTCAAGACCAAGTTAAATTACAGCAAGTTCATAAGCCAGCACCACCAACTGCTGCTGCTGCAAAATTCTCAGCTGCGCTACTGCAACTGCACGCGACGCGACTACGGTACATCACAAACCACAAGACAAAGAATGGCTAAGGAGCAACGGTGATTGTGGGCAAAAGTGCAGGCAGAGGCCCAGAAGCAGGCAGGCGGTTAACAATATGGCTAGGCTGCCTGCTGCTGCCAGCGTGGCTGTCACAATCACAACCCACTATGCTCATGAAAAGCCACTGTTTCCGAGTTGCTCCTGTGTGGGGATGCAGAGAGAAAAAGTGGAGACATGCTCGTGAGGCGAGAGTTAGAAATTAAAGGACGGAATGCAGGGAGGAGAGAGAGAGAGTGGTGGAGGGCTGAGGCGGGGTGGGGGGTGTGAGTGGAGGTCTGAGAGGTGGGGTGAAGGAAGTGCAGAGAGGGACTGACCTGCAGAATGCTGATGAGCCCTGGCTGCTCCTCCAGCAGCTGCTGTAGCTTCACTGGGTCCTGCAGTAGAGCCTGCGCACACGCACACACGCACACACACACACACACACACACACACACACACACACACACACACACACACACACACACACACACACACACACACACACACACACACACACACACACGTATAGATGCACGTGCGCAAGCAGACACATGCACGGTGAGTGGGAGGTTCGACGGGCTCTAGTGCAACGAGTGATTCATGAACGGTAGCTAGGCTCACACACCTGAATAGAACCCAGCCCTGCAACATCAGAAGCCTTGGGTGCAGCAGCACCAGCAGCAGCCGCAGCAGCCGCCGCCGCCGCAGCAGCAGCAGCACTTGCCGTGCCTGGCTGTGCTGCCAGTGCTTGAGCTTGCACCTGCAATGGTGGACCATGGCTGCTTGGCTGTGACAGGGAGTGCAACGGACCAGGAGCAGCAGGTGCCGTTGCAGGTAGTGGTGGCAGTGCGGCGGTTCCAAGCAGAGACGGAGGAAAGGGTGGAGAAGCAAGGCCCTGTGGCCCAGGTGCGGAAACAACCACCTGCTGCTGCTGCGGCAGTGGTGGTGGCGGCTGTGGTGGCACAACTGAGGGCTGGACCTTTGAGTAGTCTGAGTAGGGTGCTAGCATGACTGCAGCTGCTGCAACAGCTGCAGCTGCAGCAGCTGCGGATACAGGAGGCGAGGCGGAAAGGTTGCCTGGCGAGGCAGCAGCAGCCGCAGCCATGAGGTAAGAGGGGAGGTCAGCAGGAGAGATAGCATGAGAGGCGGAGAGGTGGTGGAAGAGGGCTTGCTGATGCTCTGGCAGGAGAGAGGGGTCCAATGGATGAGACAATTGTTGCACTTGCTGCTGCAGTTGCTGCTGCCGCTCCCTCTCTTGTGCTTGCTGCCCCATCTTCTCCACTTTCTCCTGTTCCTGCGCCCGACCATCTTTCAGTCCCTCCAATATATTCACCTGTAAATGTTGTTGGTGGTAGTGTTGCTGCTGCTGCTGCTGCTGCTGCTGCTGATGAAGCTGTTGCTGGTGCTGCTGCTGTTGTTGCTGCTGCTGCTGCTGCTGCTGCTGCTGCTGCTGATTGTACTGCTTCTGCTGCTGCTGTTGCTGCTGCAGTTGCTGCTGCTGCTGCTGATGGTACTGCAGCTGCTGTTGGTGCTGCTGCTGTTGCTGTTGCTGTTGGTGCTGTTGCTGTTGCTGTTGCTGTTGCTGTTGGTGCTGCTGCTGCTGCTGCTGTTGCTGCTGCTGTTGCTGCTGCTGCTGCTGTTGCTGCTGCTGCTGTTGCTGCTGCTGCTGCTGTTGCTGCTGCTGCTGCTGTTGCTGCTGTTGCTGCTGTTGCTGCTGCTGCTGTTGCTGCTGTTGCTGTTGCTGCTGGTACTGCAGCTGTTGCTGCTGCTGAGACTGATGGTGCTGCTGCTGTTCCTTACCCTCCCCTTCACGCACCCCAGCCTTTCTTGGACCACTATCACCATCCATCTCACTCTGTGCACCACCCTTTCTCCTCTTCCCAACATGCCTCCTCCCTCCCTTCTTCTCCCCATCGTGCCCTCTGCCCTCTCCCTCGCCATCTGACCCATTACCACTACCATCAACACCATCATCCTCCTCATCATCATCATGCTCATCCGAATCACTTGTGAGATCCCCGTGAAACCACTTCTTCCTCTTTTCTTTTCCACCACCACCACCACCACCACCACCAGCAGCAGCAGCACCACCGCCAGCAACACCATTCATTTGAGACCCATGCTTCCCTGCATGCCCCGCCACCACTCCCCCTCCCCCGCCCACTCCTTCTCTGCCCCCCTGCGCCGCTCTTCCTGCCCCCCCTTCCTCCTTCCCACCGCCATCACCAGCACCAGCAGCACCAGGGCCAGCACCAGAAGGACCAGCACTCGCCGCACCAGCACCAGCAACGGGTACGCCAGGCATGGGGGGAAGAGGCGGGGGAGTGGCTGCGACAAGCGGCGGGCCTCCCATCTGCCTCTGCCGTGCCATGAACTCATCCACATGGATCGACGGCGGCCGCCCACTGCTGCCCCACCCACTCCCCCCATCGCCCCTCTCCCTCGCCGTATAATCATCCACGTGAATCGACGCCGCTCTGCTTGTGTTAGGCTTGCGCTGCCTAAAACTGTCTCTCCTGCTCATCGCAAACAGCCCCCCAGGTCCTGCAGGGGAGGGGGGCACCCCTGGTCCACCCAGCGCGCCCATCCCGCCCCCCATCATCACCCCCATGCCCATGCCCCGCCCGCCCAGTTCCTCCTGCTCCCCCCGCACTCGCTTCCCGTCTGGCCCAGCTCCTGAGGCGGCACCAGCAGAACGCTTGGTGGAGAGAAGATGCGCTGCAGAGGAGAGAGAACCGGGCTCGGGCCGGTCCCAAGGGAGGAGAGAGGCGCAGGACGAGGAGGAGGGGGAGGGGGAGGAGGAGGAGGAATAGGAGCAGAGGGAGGATTCAATAGGGGCAATGATGCGGGAGTGGAGGTCTGATAGGAGATCGGTGAGGAGAGACGGAGAGGTGCGGTGGAGGGGAGAGGAGGGGGTGGTGAGGGTGGGGAGGAGGGAGTGGAGGGAGGCGAGGAGAGGGAAGGGAGCAGGGAGGTGATAGTGACGTGACGAGGTGGTTAGGAGAAGGAGAGCTTGTGAGAGCCGCTGTGCCTGTGGGGTTGAGGGAGGAAGAGAGGGGAGGGAGGAAAAGAAGCAAGAAGCAGGACAATGAGATGGTGAGCTAAGTCTGAGACACGGCAGGGCAGTTGACAATAGAGCTGAGTGAAGAATGATGAACAGATGAAGGTCTCAAGGCACGCACACGGAGTGTATGTTTTTTGAGAATTCTCAAAAAACATACGTCTCAACAATTGACACGAAGCGTGAGGTAGGAGAAGGAATGGTGGGTGGGTGATGAGATATAGTGGCTAAGGCCAATGCTGGATAGCGGTGGAATGTGGAGTAACTGAGGGAAGTAGGATTCGGCAACGAGACACAGACCTGCTTCCAACATGCAAACTTGCGTGCCCGCGAGCGAGCGAGACGTGCGAGAGTAGTGATGGGATCATAAGGCAGACCACCAGCAGCCGCCGCCGCAGCAGAAGCAGACGCAGTGGTAGCTTCAGTTGTGGTGGTGGTGCGATGAGTAGAAGGCAGACCGAGAAGGAGCTTAAAGAGCAGAAGTCCCATTGAGCTGGTGGTTGGATGGGAAGACAGTGGCACGTGCATGGTGTTAGCACTGCCTAGATTGCCAAAGACAGCGGATAACAGTGCCTCCGTTGCAAGCAAAGAAATTGCGCTCACGATAAGAATGGGGGAGAGGAGCCAGAGTGCGTGAATTGATTCACACTGGCGTGCGCTGCAGAGTATGCCCGTGCCTTAGCCTTAGTCAAGTCAACAGAACTTGGGTCACCTTCACCACATTCAACACACCTTTGTCCAGAGTCAGCAAGGCGCAGCACGGCAAGGCAGAAGGCCTCCACAAGTGCTGCACTCCGCTGCTCCGCTGACGACGCAACCACCGCTGCGCTCCTCCCTTCCCTCCCTCCCACTTCCCCTCTAGCCTCGAGGCCCAACCCTCCACCTCTTCCCATCCCATCATCATGCCGCCACCGGCTCTTCGTTCTCCCCCTCTCCTGCTGCACCTTCCCATGCACCCCACATCCCTCTTGCCCTTCACCACTATCCCCATCCCCATCCCCATCCCCATCCCCATCCCCATCCCCATCTTCCACCTCTTCCTCCCCCTCCTCCTCTTCTTCCTCATCTTCTTCTCCCTCCTCTTCTTCCTCCTCCACCCCCTCCTTCTCATCATCTCCCCATCCACCTGCCTTCACCTTTAGCCACCTCTCCACCTGCCCCACCACCCCCCACGCGCTGCTTTGCAGCAGCCCACCCCACCTCTCCGACCCTCCTCCCTCTGACACTGTTGACCCAGGCGTCCCATCCCCCCGTACCCTCCCCTTGTCCCCTTCCTCTTCTGCTCCTTCCCCTCTCCCTGCTTGTGGCGCCAGGGCAGTGGGCGCGGAGGAGACAGGAGTGGGAAGGAGCAAGGAGTGGGAGAGGTGCAAGCAGAGGAGGGTGCGGGAGGCGGGGGAGGAGGAGATACAGGAGAGGGAGGAGAGAGCTGCCACACGCAGTGCTGCCGCGGGGCATGTCTGGAGGGACGTGGGTGGGGGTTGGGTGGGGTGGGTGGGGTGGGGATGAATAGGTGAGCAGCAAGCGGGAAAAGCATACATCAAGAACCTAAAAACTTCAGATGATACACTCAAGGAAAGAGGGGAAACATTGAGAAGGGAAAGTAGAGCAGTGGGATGCGAGCATGTGCGAGGGGAGGAGGTGGCTTGCCTGCACGAGTGAGAGCAGGGCAGCCAGAGTGTCTCCTGCGAAGACAGCTGCAGATGCTCCCTTGGGTCCTTGCACTGTTTCACTTGGCACTGTACCAGCGTCAGAGGGAGGGGGGAGAACTGAGGTGGAGACACAGGCAGGCACAGCAGCAGAGGGAGGTGGGGTGCGTGGGGATGGAAGCAGCACAGAAGCGTCGAGACTCGCTTGTGGCTGCTGCTGTGGTTGCTGTTGCTCCTGCTGTTGTTGCTGCTGCTGCTCCTGCTGTTGTTTTTGCGGCTGCTGCTGCTGCTGCTGCTGCTCCTGCTGCTGTTGCTGTTGCTGTTGTTGCTCCTGCTGCTGCTGGTGCTGCTGTTGCTCCTGCTGCTGCTCCTGTTGCTGCTGCAGTTGCAGCTGCTGCTGAGACTCTGCTGGCTGCACTACCATCACACCCACAGCGCTGCTGTTGGTGGCAGCAGTTGTGGTGGTCGTGACAGCCACAGCGGCAGCATCTGCAGTAACAGCAGCCACAGCAGCTGGGGGTGCTGCTTCCAGTGCATTGGCAGGGAATGAAGCGACAGCAGAGGGTGGCAGGGCGAGGGGCGGCGATGGGAGGCGGTACTGGTGAAGACACAAGTGGAAGAAGCTGCGTATCACATGATTTGCACAGGGAAGAAGCGTGGAGAGAGTTTGGGTAAAAAAAGAAGAGGTCGGAAGCGGTCATGCTGGGTAGTAAGCACACAAGCATTACCACAACCAGAATCAGAATCTCTTCATGCTGATGTTAAATGATAAACAGCATCAAGCAAAGGCGTTTGCATCACGCATGTGTTTGCATGCCATAAACATTAAATTAAAAAATGAGTGACTCAATAGCTACCTGGGTGTTTGCAGAGCATGCAAGGAGAGAGCAGACGCGATAAACATCCCCATGCAGGTAACCTGATCCATCTGCTTTTCCATGCCACTGCTCCCCTCATGCACCCCTTGCTCCCCTTGCTCTCCTTTCTCTCTCTGCTCTCCATGCTCCCCGTGCTCCCCATGCAGTCCTTGCATCCCCTGGGTCCTTCCCCTCTGCTGCACTCCCTGTGAAGCTTTGCCGTCCTCCCCACTGCCAGCACCCCCCTCGGCGCGCTCTTTCACTGCCAGGAAACCTGGAGGAAAGTCTACGGCAGGTGACTTGCCAGCACCACTGCCACTCATCAACACGTCTGCAGCCGACTCGCCTCCAGGCTCCTGCTTAACCCCCAGCACCACAGTCGCTGCTATTGTTGCCCCACCTCCTCCTCCTCCTCCTCCTGCTCCTCCTGCTCCTCCTGCTCCTGTTCCTCCTGCTCCTGCTGCTGCTGCTGCCGCTCCTACTGCACTTTTCTGTGCGGCTAGCTGCAGAGCCTTGTGGGGCAGCGAGCGGACACGAGAGTGCGTGAGGACGTGGAGGAGGAGGCGGGAGAAGGACTTGTGCTGCAATGCCTGGGGCTGAGGGCAGTGCGAGTGGTGGCAGACATGTGGGGGAGGGGACGGGAGAAGTGTGGTGGGGAGAGGGAGGGAGGAGGGGATATGGGGAGCGGTGGGAGTTGGGGAGTTAAAAACAGGCCGGGCAAAACAGGATCGACAACAAGATAGAAGGGCAGACAGGGAGATCACTCATTGCATAGTCGTGTGCACCAAAACCAAAAGGCTGTAAGAATGCATGGATGAATGCAAGAAAGTCAAGACGAGGTGCAAGTACCTGCACAGAGGGGTGCACGATGAGTTGGGCCAGTAGGTGCAGCAGGGAGACCAGGTCTGCAAGCAGCAAGGGCGATGCCACAGGCCTTTCACTGTCACCCCTGCTCTTCCCGGAAAGGTCAGCCAACCCAGGCACACCACTACCTGCTGCTGAGACCCCTCCCCCCACTGCCATCCCCCCGCCAGTGGCCCCTGGTGCCTTTTCTCCCACTGCTGCTGCTGCTGGTATTCCTGCCTGTCCTGCTGCTGCTCCTGCTTTCGCTCCTTCTCCTCCTGCTGCTGCTCCTGCTCCTCTCACCACTGCAGTTGCCGCTGCTGCTGTTGCTGCCGATACTGCAGCTTCTGCTGCTCCTACAAGCCCGATTGCTGTGGTGCCAGTACCACCACTCGCCCCTGCTGCTGCTACTGCTGCACCCATGCCCCCTGGACCAACTGCAGCGGTTGGAGCAGCAGCAGCATCAGAGGTTACTTTGGGAGTAGAGGAGAGTGGGGCGTTTGGGTGTGTGGTAGACCCAGGGGCAGAGGCACCAGCAGCAGCAATAGCACTAGATTTCAACCCACCGCCCCCTCCTCCCATCTCCCCTCCCTCCCGTCCCCTTCCTGCTCCTGCTCCATCCCCGTCTTTCAACCCTGCCCCACCTCCTTCCACCTCTCCAGAACCCTTCGCACCCTTATCCCCACCACCATCACCAGCAGCACCAGATTCACCCGCAGCACCTCCAGCAGCCGCAGCAGCAGCAGGAGCGGAAGCAGCAGCGGCAGCAGCAGAGGCGGTAGCAGCAGCCCTAGCAGCATCTCTCCCATCCAAGACTTCAAGCCATGCTTCCATACACTCGCATGCCCTCTCCACCACAGCTGCTATCGCCTTCTCTCCAGGTTCCTCCCCTGCCTTGCCATCTCCAGCCAGACTTTGGCTGGAAGCAGGCTGAGAGGGAGGGGGAGGGGCCGGGTAGGAGGAGGAGGAGGAAGAGGCAACGGAGGAGGTACCAGGGGTGGAAGTGGTGAGTAATGTGGTGGTGGTGGTGGGTGGCTGGGATGAGAGAGTGGTGGTGGTAGTGGTGGTGAGAGGGAGAGAGTCTGCTAGAACGAGGATGAGGGAGGATAGGGAGGTCCGGACAACCCATGATGCCTGCCGTGAAAGGAAAAGGGGGAGGAAGAGGGAACGGACGGGAGGAACGAAGGGAGGTTCGATTAGGACATGCGAAATGTAGTGCAATGGGAGCAAGCAAGCTGGGTTGAAGGAGGGATATGATATGCATGGGATGGGAGCATCGCGCACAGCACACAGGCATGCACACACACAACGCATGTGCGGAGCGGAGCAGCAAGCTAGCTCTCACAGTTGCGGAGAAATGGTAGATGATGCGGCAGAGAGCGGGCATGTGCGGAGCCATGCTTCGCTTGACTCGGCCTCTCAGCCCTGCATCCACGGTGAACCACATTAGCTCCTCCATGTGCGGACCCATGCCCAGCACACTCCCCACCGCCGCCACCCCCACCACCTGCTGCTTCTGCGGCCACCCCATCACCGCTTGGGAGGTCCATGAGGGGGCGGAGGAGGAGGGGGATGGGGAGGAGTGGAGGGTGGGGAGGGAGGGAGTGGAGGGAGCGGAGGGGGCGGAGGGCGGATGGGAGGTGGCGGGAGTGGTGGTGGGTGGTGGGGTGGAGGGTGAGGGAGAGGGGGGTTGGCGCGAGTGTAGGAAGGGTGGGGGTTGCTGGAGTAGATCGGCCTGTGTGGGGAGGGCGATGGGAAGAGAAAGGAAGAATCAGTATAGTGTTTGAAGGCAGCAGGGAGAACATGTGAATAGGTTACAACAGCAACAGCGACAGGAGGCATACCAGGAGGGAGAGAAGGCCAGGGAGGCGAGCAGGCTCAAGGGGAGACACAGGCCCCACTGCTGCATACTGCTGCCTGCCCTCCCCTGCAACCCCTGTTGCTGCCACTGCGGCTGCTGCTGTTGCTCCTCCCAGCACCCCTGCACCCGGCGTGGCAGCAGCACCTGCCCCCCCCGCAGCTCCAGCAGCAGCAGGAGTGGCAGTAGCGGCAGCAGCAGAGACAGCAGGGCCAGCGCTAGCGGAAGCGGCAGAGGCGGCGCCGGAAGGAGAGGGGGTGCGGAGGGAGTGGAGGGAGCGGGAGAAGAGCAGTGGGAGGAGGGCGGGGCGCCACTGGGAGGCCAGCCAGAAGGCGAGGCAGGACGTGAGTGCTTGTCGTATCGCCTGCAGCTCTATAGCCTCGGACTGGCAGGACCAATCGGAGATGGCCATGTGGAACGGCGGTCGAGTGCTGCAGGGCAAGATTGGAGGGGGGTCGGGATAAGTGCAGGAGGGGAGGAGGCGGAGGAGAGGTACGGTGTGGAGTGGAGTGAGGAGGAAACCTGTGAAGGGGAAACATGCGAGCCGAAAGGTTGTCCCATGAGTGGCAAGGGGCTTACAAAGTTGAGAGGCACATGTGCCTATAGAGAACTCCCTCGACGCGAGTGGACCGTGCACCACTCCAAACCCTGATTCTAAACCCGCAACCCCAACCTTATGTGTCGTGACGAGGGCAGGGGGTAGTGAGAGAGAAGAGGGAGCACCTGAGCAGCAGGTAGAGGTCGAGCAGGGCGTGCAATAGCTTGGTGCTGCGGAACTCACTCACTGTGGCCTGCATGCAGAGGAAGAGAGGTGGGACAGAGGGACGGGAAAGAGGAGCAGGGCAGAGAGACGGGGCAGAAGGGTGGGGCAGAGGGGTGAGACAGAGGGGTGGGGCAGAAGGGAGAAATGCAGTTAGCGAGCGACCAATGCAAACATATCACCTCGGGAATGTGTAGCTGATGCAATCACTCATCCTTCTCAAACCCCATACGATGCACGCATGCACAAGCACACATGCACGCGCACATGCACACGCACGTACACATGCACACGCACGTGCACATGCAGTTGCAGCACACACACCTGCAGGCGGGCCAGTATGGTGCGCAGGAGCAGCAGAGCGGGCAGCAGCAGGCGGCGTGTCTGTGCGTGCACTTGCAGCAGATCCATGTGCAGGCCTGGCGCCCGCGACCATGCTGCGTGTGAGGATGCCCCCCCTGCTGCTTGCTGTGGTGCTGTTGACGAACGATTGGCATGAGAGGGTAGACATGGGGGAGGGGGAGGGATACAGATGAAGATATGCGTGCGTGGATGGATAACCGGTTGGCACGAGTATGTGCGGCTCACAAACAAACTGACTTTTACAATGTGCGGCATGGAGGTACACTGCAAGAAAGAGCACTGACCGGGGATGGAGAAGGCGGAGTTGGCAAGGGAGAGGAGGGAGAGCAGCAGGTGTATGACCCCCTCGTTGAACATGTCCACTGCCATGTCCTGCTTGCCCCATGTCCCCATGTCATGTCCCCGTGCATTCCATTCGTGCATTCCATTCGTGCATTCCATTCGTGCATTCCATTCCGTGCATTCCATTCCGTGCATTCCATTCCGTGCATTCCATTCCGTGCATTCCATTCCGTGCATTCCATTCCCCCGTGCGCACACGCATGCACACCGTTCGAAAGATACGGAACGAAACAAACAAGCAACACGAGAGTGGAAGATTAGTAAGCACGGGGTGCTTCAAAGAACTCATTTAAAAAACTTGAGTGATGGAAAATTAGGTTGATTGAACCAGACCCAGGCAATCCCACTCCTCTGCTCTTGCAGCATGCTACAAACTAGGCCAACCCACCCAGCACCTGAGTGAGCAACCACCATACACCAGTATTCACTTGCCACTCTCCCTACCTCCTGTCTCTCTGCTCACTCCCTACCGTGTGTCGAGACAGCAGAGCCAGCAACCTGACAGCCCCTGTCAGCTGCACCAGCAGCGGCAGCAGAGTGCTCGAAGCCATTCCCTCCCTTCCCTTCTCCTCCTCCTCCCCTCCCCCTCCACCCCCTCCTTCCGCACCCCCCTCCCCTCCCCCTCCCCCCCCAGACCCCCCTCTCCCTCCCCCTCCTCGTGCACCACCACCGTTATCCCCAGCAGCAGCAACAGCAGCAGCTATGGTGCTGACAGCAGCAGCAGCATCGCCCTCTGCAAGCTCACCAGCCAGAGCCATAAGCCCCGGCAGGCCCTTCATGCCAAACACAGCGCACCCCTCCAGCCAGTCTCTCGCCTCTTCAAACCCCAGCACGAGGTCAGCGGCACGCAGGCGCATGGAGGCTGCAGTTGCTGCTGCATGTAAGGCTGCCCCGCCGTGGGCCACGGCTTGCCATGTGGAGAGGGAGGAGTCTCGGAGCAGCACGAGCAGCACGTGGCACGCGCGGCTGGACAGGATTGCGAGAGACGGCTCAAATGCTGCGGTGTGGGAGCGGAGGAAACGGAAAGGTCAGGAGAAAGGTGAGTGAAAGGACTAGAAAGGGAAGGGCATGATGCAAAGAGAGTAAACACGAGAGAGGAGAGGAGTTTGTGAAAGAGTGCGTTCGACATGATTCAACCTGCAGTTGAGTGTGTGAGTGCAGGCAGTCACGGATTGAATACAGCGTGGTGTGGCTGACCTTTGAAGGGCACGGCAGGGGTGGTGGCGGAGGGCAGGCCTCGTGACTGCAGTGGATGCTCTATGGCAAATATGGCCAGGTGTAGCACTTGCAGCAGCTGATGACAGGTGCAGCGAGCCAAGGGGGAAGAGTGGGGAGAGGGCATGGGTTAGGAGGGTGCGAGGTGCAGGCCTCGTGACTGCAGCGGATGCTCTATGGCAAAGATGGCCAGGTGTAGCACTTGCAGCAACTGATGACAGGTGCAGCACACGATGGGGGGAGGGAAGGGAAAGGGGTGAGGGAAAGCGAAAAACGGGGAGAGGCATGGGGTGATTGGGTCGAAGCAAGGCATAGAAAGGTGAGTGGATGAGAGAAAGGGGAAGGTAGACTGCAAAAAGAGATAAGAGGGATTCAGGGAGATATTTCTGGCAGTGCATTTCAGGCCCGTTTGCACACATGCAGGAGAAGGAGCGAGGCAGGCAAAAGTCAACGCGAACAGCAGCGCAACGCACCTCGGGCAGTGTAGCGACAGCAGCCAGTGCCTGGCGTGACGCCTCATGCCTGTGCATGGTGGCGAGGGAGAGGAGCGGCGCCAGCAGTGCCTGCACCTGCGCTGCAGAGCGCAGAGGCACACGCGTGGCTGGGCCAAACACGCCCAGGGAGAGAGCAGAGGCTGTCGACGCCACCCCCACTGCTGCCCCCGCTGCCACTGCTGCTGCTGCTGCCTGCTCCACTAGGGTTGCCTGTGGCGAAGTGGCCAGTGGGTGCCGTGTGCACGTGGTGGGTTGGTTTGGGGGGGGGGGGGATTGAAGAGTGGAGGATGGGGAGTGGGAAAAGGGAGGGTGATGACGAGAGGGAGGCAAGGGCATGAGAAAAGAGGGACGAAGTGAAGTGGAATGAGGAGGGAGGATGCAGAGGAGAGGAAGGAGAGGCGTTTTGAGGCTGATGCCAAGCCAAGAGGGTGTGACCCTGTGGCGAAGGCATGGTGGTGGAGGTCAAATGAGGAACGAGTAGCTTATGATAGAAATATCTCTGAGAAATTACATGAAGCCACACTATTGATAAACAGCTGCTCCAACGCTTCCTTTCTCACTTTCTACTGGAGATATCTACCACATGACACCAGGCTGTGCCGCAGTAGTGGCACCACTTGCTCGCTCCCACCAACACTGCTTCGCAACCTGCCCACTTACCGCTTTCAACACTTCGGTCATCGCAGCCGCCACGTCAGATGGTGACGTGGCAATGCCGAGCGAATCAAGAGCGAGCAGGTGGCGGCATGGCAGCAGTCGGCCTCCTGCCAGTCGCCAGACTCCCTGACCCTTCCCTCCCTGCACTCTCTTCGCCTGGCGACGTCGGCGTGCGTGGTGGGACGCGGCAGGTGAGTGTGCAGCAGCAGTGGGAGCGTGGTGGAGAGCGGAGGCGAGGCGAGCAGTGGCGTGGGGCTGGGAGGCTAGAAAGAGTAGGCCTGCAGGGGATGAGACGCGGTGATGGGGTGGTTTTGTTACTTGAGTAAAAAGGCACCAGAAATGTGACTTGATGGGGCGAGATCAGGGTGTTGCAAGCATGAGGACGACATGGGACACAACAACACACACGGATACACGATTACTGCACAGCACAGGTACACGTACAGATAGAGCACCATGCACAGGGACGAATTTTGAGGCACCTCAAAAGTAAACACAGCACAGGTACACGTACAGATAGAGCACCATGCACAGGAAGAAGTCCAACACACGGACATGGGATCAAACACACACACACACACAAACTGCCATGCAGAGACGTTAGGCATGGGATGGGAAAAGAAGACGGACAGACGGACCTTCCCGGCAGTGCAGCAGCGGCAGCAGGATGGCGTGCAGTGGTGCCAGCAGCACAGGGGCGGGCCATGGGGGCACGTGCACAGAGAGCAGCAGCGGGGGACGGGCCACTTGAGGGGGACAGGAGGGGGAGGAGGATGGCGAGGTGGATGCAGCCGTGATGGCTGCTGCGAGGAGGTCCAAGAAGTGATAGCCCTGATGTGCGCACAGGAGAAGGGTGGCAGGAAGTGGGGGGGAGGAGTGGAGGGGTGGAGGAGTCAGATGAGAGAAAGACACGTGGAGGGTAGCAGAGGGTGAGGCGAAGAGATGAGGCGAATACAGCAGGGTGATGCAGGCAAGGTGAAGGTGCGAGGTGTACGCAGCAGCACATTAGAGGGTGCAGACGCTACAGTGCGCACATGCAGAAGAAGTTGCGCAATGTGCGTGCGTTCTGCTCTGCGCTCTGCTCTATGCCCTGTGCAGTGCAGCATGCATGCAGCGAGTCTCTCTCTCACCTTGAGCACGGCCAGGGCATCCGCGTCCAGCCCCCCCAGCAGCTGCGCCAGCAGCGGCGACACAAACAGCGGCGGCGCGTTCGCGGGCGGCAAGGGCGGGCAGAGGGGGGACGCGAGCGGGCAGGAGAGGGTGGTGGGGCGGGAGAGCAGCAGCGGCAGGAGAGTCGTAGGCTTGATGGCTCGGTGCGCTGTGGCGAGTGCGGAGGAGGGGGAGGAGGAAGCGAGGCGTGCAAGGGAGGAGGCGATGAGCAGGTTGGTGCTGCTCGTGCTGCCCGCTCCAGATGTTGCCGTTGCCACTGCTGGTGGCGGTCGAATGAGAAGCGACTGAAAGAGGGGAAAAAGAATGGGGGGGTGGGGGGGGGGGGGGGGGGGGGGGGGGAAGGGAGTGAGAGAGATGGAGGGGGACAGGGGAATAGAAGGAGAGATGAGATTAGCTCGATGAGAGAGTGTTAGGCACGGCACGGTGGCATGAGAGCGACAAGTGTGGGAGGGCGAGTACTATTAGCAGGAGACGGAGAGAGCAAAGCATCAGCCAAGGCACATCCTACCAGAACAGCCCAGATTCTCTCCTTTGCCCTCAAAATAGGCATGATCAAATGGCCCGACCCGACCCGACTTGGGCGGGCCAGCCGGGTTCCGGGTCGGGTCGGGTCGGGTCGGGTCGGAACATCAAAGATCTCTGGCCCGACCCGGGTATCGGGTGCCGGGTCAGGCTTGACCCGCCCCCGGGCCGGGTCGGGTCGGGTCGAGCCGACTCCCATAGGCAGGGTTAGAGGTTCTCTTTAATACTGTGCAGGTTTGCTGAGGGTTAGCGTTCCGTTATAAGAAAACGATTGGCTGAGTACTAACTAAACAAAATCGCAGGTTATAGGGTAGATGATTAGTACGCCAATGTTGCTGGGTGGGTGGCTGCTGGCGTCACTAGCTAGGTAACTTAACTTAATCCAGATCGAAATGCTAGTCGCTGGGAAAACAAGCATGCGCGACTGCGATCTGGATAACATTGTCGAGAGGAAACCCTCGGGTCGGGCCAGATACCCGACCCGACATAGGGCGCGGTACCCGAAACCGGGTCGGGTTCATATCGGGTCAAAACCCGACCCGACCCGACCCGACCCGACCCGACCCGACCCGACCCGACCCGACCCGGAATCGGGTCACAAGTCGACCCGACCCGACCCGGCCGGGTCAGCGGTTCAGAACTCCTGACCCGACCCGCCGGGGCGGGATGCTCATGCCTACCTCAAAACTCTGGACAACAGACCCTACACCTCCCACTTCTCCTTACCCTCATCTACTGCACTGCAGGTTTCCCCTCCCATCCACTCTCACACCCACTCCACTCCCCACCAACCTGAGTCTCCTGCAGCAGCTGAATCACAGTTGCCAACCCATCATCGGCACTCCCCCTCCCCTCCCCATTGCCACCTTCCACCTGCTCCACCACTCCTTCCCCGCCTTCCCCCGCTCCCCTCTCCCCCTCCACCCCTTTGTCTTCCCCTGCCCCCACTGCAGCGCTCTTCAGTAGGAGTTGGGGGGTTGTGGGGGAGGGGTGCGGGTGAAGCAGCTGAGTCACCGAGTGCTGTGGTGTGGACGAAGAGGGAGAGGAGGGAGGGGAGGAATGAGTGGATTGTCGTGCTCATGATTGTGAATTTGAGAGGGTTGGACATTGCAAGTAAGCACAGGAGAAATTGTGGGGAAGAGAAGAGGGTGTCGACAAATGTGGGGTGCAGTGGGGGGGGGCGTGGGGGAGAGAGAGGACAGCAGGGACTAGAAAAAGGCACAGAGAGCAAAAGCAAGAGCAGCAGCAGCAGCAGCAGCAGCAGCAGCAGCAGTGAGGAGAATCACCTGTAGGCGCAGGCAGAGGTGATGGCGGTGCAGCACGAGCAGCAGTTGGGTGGCAAGAACTCCCACTTGCAGCGGTGTGCGGCAGCGACTGGAATGCACCACAAACGCCAACACCTGCTCGTACCCACTGCTCCCTGCACCCTTCTCCTTGCCCCCAGCACTCTTCCCTGCCTCTGCTTTCCCCTCCCCACCCTGCTTGCCTTCCTTCCCTGTGCTCACTTGCTCCTCCTCAACCGCCTCCTCCTCCTCCTCCACCCCCTCTCCTTCCACCTCCATCACACCCTCCCCCTTCTTCTCTGCTCCTCCGTCCCGCTTTTCCCCTCCTTCATCCCCTTCCTTCTTGGGCCCAGTCACACCTTTCCCTTTCCGCCCTGCACTGCTGCCTTTTACTATCGCGCCCTTCCCCGGAACCCTCGGGTCTGGCTGAAGCAGCAGCGCACATGCAAATGGGTGGCGGCAGCAGCAGAGCAGCGCGGAGAGAGCCAGGCAGGGGAGGGACGACGCTGCTGAGGAGGACAGGAAGGAGGAAGATGCAGGGGCGGAGGAGGGGGAAGGCCTTGAGGAGGAGGAAGGTGAGGGTGAGCGTGGTTGTTGGAGGGCTGAGAGCAGCCCTTGCAAGCCGTTGCGACGGCAGAAGAGCAGGCAGTGGCGGGGGGAGAAGGCAACGAGATGCACGAGCGTGAACGCTGCCTGTGTCTCCTCCACCTGCCCGCATGATGTGGGAACCAGCACGCATACACAGAGAGGGCGGGAAAAAAGGCAGTGGGGATTGGTTGAAGCAGAGGGAGAGGATTGGAGGGTAAGGAATGAGTGTGATTAGAGAGCAAAAAGAGAATAAGGACGAGATAGGGAAGCAGAAGACAGGAGCAGGGAGCAGGGAGCAGGGAGTAGGGAGGTGCGTACGGATGGGAGGATGGTGGAGGCACAGACAACATGGTGCAGCCACGCAAGCGCCATGTCAACCTCCTGTACCACCAACGCCCACTCCTCCCTCTCCTCCTCCGCCCCGCCGCCCCCCTCCTCCCCATCCCCATACCCTCCCTTCCGCACCCCCCCTCCCCCACCCTCCTTCCCCACCCTCCCCCCACGTCTCCTGTCTCTCCCAACCGTTCCCCAACCCTCGTCACTCTCGCCTAAATCCACTGGCAGGAGGCTAAGCCCTGCGAGATGAGCAGCAGCAGAGGAGAGCAGGGGGAGCAGGGCATCGGCAGCAGCATGGCTGATAGCGGAGGATAGTCCGTGCCAGAGCCGCACTGATGCCCGCAGCACTGCCACTGCTCGCTTCCTGCCCTCCACTGCCTCCTCCACTGCTGCCGCCCGCCTCCCCACCACCACTAGAGCATCTTCCTCCTCTTCCTCTCCTCCATCCTTCTCTTCCTCTTCCTTGCGCCCCCCTCTCCCTTTCCCCTTTTTGCCTTCCACCCGCGCCTTCTCCCCTCCTCCCCCTCCTTCATCCCCTCCTGTTGCCTCCTCCCCGCCTTCCCCGTCTGTCTCACCACGCTCCTCGTCCCCTGCCCGCCCCTCTTCGCGCCTCTCTCTCCCCCACTTTCTCTTCTTCAAAACCTTTCCGCCACTGGGTTGCACAGCATCTACCACCATCGCATCATCCCAGGCCCCCTCTCCCGCTCCCCCACCCACCACCGCCCCTCCCCCCTCTCCCCTCTCCGCGCCCGCCACTCTAACACGCGCCGAGCCTCGACCCCCCTGGCCCGTTCCCCCCGCCTGCTTTCCGTGTGATGAGCGCAAGGCGCGGGGACGCAGAGAGCGCGAGGGCGGGGAGAGGGGGGTGCCGAAGAGGACGAGGGAGAGCGCGCAGTAGGAGCCCCGCAGCACTATGTGGTCTGTTAGTAGCGGCTGTGGGGCGGTCGAGGGGGCATAATGGGAGGTGCGGAGGGCAGGGGTGTGGGGGGAAGGGCCGAGGGGGGAGGGGAAGGGGAGAAACGAGTGAGGCGAGAAACGGGAAACAAGGGGAGAGGGGGAGAGTGGGAAGGGGTAGCGAAGGGGGACACAGAATGGGGAGCAGGTGTGGGGGGAAGGTGGGGAGAGGGAGGGGGGTGAGACATGCGGAAAGTGCGAGAGCAAGACGAGCAGCAGAGGAAGAGAAGCAGAAGAAACGAATAGACGAAAGGATGGGAGAGCCGGAAAAAAGGGTGGGGGGGGTGCAGGCAGAGGAGGAGAGAAGGAAGAGGCGAAATGGACAGGATACATTGGACAAGGCATGGGTGAAGCCTCGGGAGGGTATGGTGTGTAGGTAGGGAGGTGCAGGGAGGTGCTTGCCTGGATGTGCTTGATGGCCGTGGTGAGATTCTCCGTGGACCCCTGTGTGTGATATATCACCCTGAACTCGCCCCCCGCACTTGGCCCACACATCCCCACGCCACCCGTGCCACCATCTTCCAACGCCCTAGCCCCCACTCTCCTCCCATCTGCACCCCTTGCCGCTGCTGCTGCTGGTGCCGCTGGTGCCTCTGCTGCTGCTGCCAGTGGGGTTGGTGGGGCATTGGTATGAGCAGCAGCGTGTGAACCAGCAGACAGAGACGCGTGGGCGGGGGCTGCATCTGGTGCGGTGGCGGGGGCGGAGGGGAGAATGTGCGCGTAGATGGCGAGATTGAATGGCTCTGATTGGGTCACTCTGAGAGGGGTTGGGGGGAAGGAGGGAGGAATTGAGGGGAGGAGGAAAAGGAGGGAGTGAGGAGGGACGAAGACAGAGATGAGAGGGTGAAAGCAGCGAAATGGACCTGCCATCGTAATGAGAACACAAAACGGGCGCGTTTATGCAGTATAACGCAAAAACACCCCCTCTCTGCAGCACACACACACAAAACGCCGCATTGCCATGTAACTGCATGTGCAACTACAAACGGGTGGCACTAGGAGCGCGCCGTACCCTCTGAAGCGGCGGAGTAGCGGGGTGGGCGCGGGAGCATCAGGCGCGGGCAGGTGGAAGGCCTTGAGCAGCAGCGGCGCGCGGAACCGCACCTGCGGAATGGGGAAGCGCAAGAGACGCGGAGAGGGGGAGGGGAGGAGGGAGGGAGGAGATGCGGGGATTGGCCACGGGTGCGGTTGGGGGGGTGAGAGGAAAGGAGGATGAGAGAGGGAATAGAGGGAGAGAGGCGAAGAGCAAGGCACGGGAGGCGACGGATACGGAAGACTCAAGCGGTTCGCTGAAAAAGTTGCGGAACACGGCGTGGCCGTAGAACGCGCGACCTAACAACGGGGATAAAGCGAAACTGCCGCCAGGGAGCCGTGCGTCAGAAACATAAACCAGCATCAGCGGCACCAACTGGCTCTTCCCTAAACGGCGAGCCGTCTCCGCGTGGTCGTCGCTAATCGCTGCCTGAAACTGGCTGAAACGCTAATCGCTGAAATTGCTCGTTTCAAGACTCGGTACTTGTCCCATCGCTAAAGCCTATGCCGCGGCGTGAAGCGCGCCGAGCCCACCTCGTCCACGTTGTCAGGCGACGGCCGGTGGTGGAAGGAGTCGAAGAACACCACGTCCATGGCCGGCACCGCGCAGCACCGCACTCCGCCGCACTGCACGCCGGCGACCGCCGCGACGTCTCGAGGCGACGACGCTGTCCAGCTTATCGCAGTGCGACGATCGCTTACGATGGGCCTACCGAAGGGTTCTGTCGCATGGATCGCACGCGCTTCGATGCCAGAGATCTATCGTTCTATCACTAGAACCCATCGCGGGATACTAAGCAGCCCATTGTTTAATTGAAAACGATCGAGCTGAAAGCAGGAGGAAACGCAGGAGAGACGTGCCGAAATCGTGATGGCGACGTCGAATGGCCTCTCCGAGCACATCGGCTAGGCAGCGAGGCAGTGAGATAGCGAGACGGCGAGAGAGCGAGACCGCAACGCAAGAGGGTGAGGAGCTGCTAGGTGCTTCTTGGTTGAACCCCGCTGTTTTGTTATGAGAGTGGCCTAGAAATGATTTACGTGTTTGTTTGGGTGTAGACAAGAATCATAGCAACTAAGTTTACACGAGATACGTGGTAACAATAAAAGAACCAGCAAAACTCTCTGCTTGCGAATCGCCTGTTGCGACAGTTGAAATCGCTAAAACTCGTGGATGTCTGGCGCTTTCTTTCCACCCAACCACCACGAAAACCACTACAGTACCAGCAACCTGCTGCAGCCTCTCTTCTAGCTCTAGTACGGCACTTGTTATCCAAGCTGCTCAAGTGCATCAGCTTTTAGGGTTGTCACCTGCGCGAGGTCTCGACTCGTTCTTCCCTCACTCTCATGCGCTTCGCGCCTCGACGTCAGCCGTCGTTCCGTGCGTTCCGGCATTTCCGAACAGCTGCAGAAGTTATTGCTTTTTCTCACGATTCGCTGATCAGGAATGGTCTTGCATTAGGATAAAATATGCACCTTTTTCTGTTTTTTCTTTTAACTACTACTAAAACGAGGTAACGCGAGCTTCTGAGAACCCTAGCGACACCTCTGCGTCAATCTCGTTGCGACATTCGCATCATCCTTGGCGGAACCGGTCGAGCGCGTTCGCCGATTCAGCATCTGCACCTCGTTAGTAAAGGCAGGCTCCGCATTGCACCGGACTGCGCCGCGCCTCAAATGGCGGCGTCCGTACGCCACGCGTTACTGCTTGTCCTAATCGCCTTCATTATCGCTGCGGCGGTTGAGACATGGCCGGTCATGGCGGAAAGCACCGCCGCCGCGCCTGCTGATGCCGCCGCCGCACCTGACGCCGCAGCTGCCGCCGCACCTGCCGCTGATGCAGCGACCGATTCGGCCCCTGCAGCGAGCACATCAAGCGGCGGTGACAGCAGCAGCGGGACCGGCGGGACGGATAGCAGCGGGACCAGCGGGACGGGTAGCAGCGGGAGCAGCGGCACGGCGACGAGAACTAGTTTCGCGCCGTCGTTCAACGAGACTTCCACGGCGTCGGAGGGCTCGTACTCCCTAGGTCAGCTGCTCCGCGTGCCCGTACCCGCCCAACCTAGGGGTTACCTCACCCACCCATCCACCCACTCGCCCGCCCGCCCACCCGCTCGCCCATGCCTCTTCCTAGTGTACTAGAGGTCATCGCAGCAGCGATCGCGTTTAACTGCTCGAGGTTGCATGATTGCTACTTCTTAAGAACCTTGTGCCTCTCGTCGTCCCGTCCCGTCCCTTCCCGCGCCCACGCCCGCGCCCACGCCCGTGCGCGTGGCGCGGTGTGTGCGCAGATGCGGCGCGGTGGGTGTGGCCCACGGCGAACGACCCCAACGCGGAGAACCTCATCCACTCCATCCTCTCCAGGTGCGCGCCCTGCCCCGCCGCCGCGCGCGGGGAGGGGGAGAGGAGGGGAGGAGGGATGTGGGGAGGGAACGAGAGGGAATGGGAGGAGCGGAGGGAACAAACAGTGGAGGGAAGAAAGGAAGGGTAGGAAGTGCGAGCGGTGGTCGTTCGTCCTGTCGCGTTTCCGTTGTGTTTCGTGGCACGCCATTGCCACCGTCCCAGCGCCATTTCCGTCCTCGTGTCCCTGCCACAACAACAAACCTCATTCCCACCTCACCGCCCCTCAATCCCCACTACTCCGTCCCCTCTCCTCTCTTTTTCCCCCGCGATCCCCCGCGGTCCCCCTCCCCGCGATCCCCGCGCGTGCGCGCGCAGCTGGTGCGGGGAGACGTACGTGGATGCGGTGAAGGACGCGTCGACGCGCGCGGGGCAGTTCGACCGCCTGCGCAGCGAGCGCGACCAGCGCTACGCGGAGTGGCTGCGCTGCAACCAGGAGCGCAGCATCCGCGAACGAGTGAGTGCGCGGAAGGAGCGGGCCATGTCCATGCCTCGGCTCCATTCAACTCCCACCCTCCCGTCCCACACATCCCCCGCCCCCCTTCCCCTCCCCTCCATTTTCCCGCTCGTCCTCCTCCGTGCGCTGTCCTTGCGCGTGCTTCCCCCCGTCTCTCCCTCCCCCTCTTCCTCTCCCCCGCCCGTTTTCCCGCCTCGTCCAGCACCTGAGATGGGGGGCGACCGCGAGGATTGTTGAGACACCTTACAAATCTCCTTAGAGTCGTTTGAGACGCCTGTTTACCCCCTTCCCCCGCTTCTCCCTTCCGCCCCTCCGCCCCTCCTCTCCTCCCCCTTTCCGTTCCGCCTTCCCCGCGCCCCCAGGAGCTGGAGATGGAGTGCGAGCGCGAGCGGCAGGTGGTGGCGAGCGCGTTCGACCGCGAGCGCGTGGGCATCCGCGCGGAGTGCGACACGGACGCCAACGCCATCCGCGCCGAGCTCGAGCACTGCGAGATCCGGGTACGAGAAGGAGGGGGAAGCGGGGGGTGACGAGGGGGGAAAGGCGGGCCTGAAAGGGGGAAATGGGTAGGGTAGGAGTTGGATGAGAGTACGGGTGAGAGAGAGATAGCGTGTGCCTTTGGGAAGTGATCGTGGAGGCGGAGTGGGAAGGCTGCTCGGTTCCGTTCCTCCTGCTAATGCTCCAGTCCGCTTCCTAAACCCCTTCCGCACTGCCCACCCGTTCCCCCATCCTCTCTCCTCTCCCCCACTTCCCCTCCACAGCTAAAGAAGAAGGGTACGGGCAGCAGCCAGAAGGACGTGGCAGCGGAGCGGCTGGTTGTCCGATTCCTTCCCCCCTGCTAATGCCCCAATCCCCCCCTCCTCCTCCCCTCCCGCGCCGCCCATCCGTTCCCCTCTCCCCCTCCTTCCCCCCCGCGCAGCTGAAGAAGAAAGGCGCGGGCAGCTGTCAGAAGGACGTGGCAGCGGAGCGGTCGGCGTGCGAGCAGGCGAAGCGGGGCCTGCAGGAGGAGCTGGAGGCGTGCGAGGCGACGGGGCGCGTGGCGAACGTGAGCCGCGTGGTGGCGCTGGAGCAGGCCGCCGTGCACGCCGGGGAGGAGCGCGTCGCATGGACGGCCGAGAGGAAGACGCTCGTTGCCGAGGTGCACGAGTGCAGGTGTGTTGCTGTGGGCGACTGGGGGGGATTGGGATGAACTGGGGGGCAATGGGGGACGCTGAGGGCGATTGGGGACTGTAGGAGGTATTGAGGATTGCGCTTGGTTCCGGGGGGGGAACAGAGGGGCGCTGGGGGTTGCAGGGGTGGGGGGAAGGCGCTGGGTAGACACTGGTCGGTCACTTGGTGCCACTGGGTATGAATGAGGGAGATTGCTGCTTGCTTTGATACTCACTCACTCACTCACTCACTCCGCCCTGTCCACTTTTCAGCCGCTCCCCGTGCCTCCCTCCCCACTTTCAACCCTTCTTCAAGGCTCAAGCCCTACCTCTACTCTCACATACTCACCCGTTGCCTTTCCCGTTTCTTCGCTCACCCCCTCACCTTCTCTCTCACCCTTATCTCTCACGCTCTCGCCGTGTCAACCCATACGTCGCTCCAATCCTCTCCTCTCCTGCACCCCCCCCTTCCCTCCCCCCACAACCAACCCCAGGCCGGCGCAGGTGAGGGCGCAGAGGCGGCTGAACGAGGTGTTGACGGACGGCAAGGTGCAGTCGCTGGAGAAGAAGGTGACGCTGCTGCAGACCGTCATGCTCTCGCTCTTCCTCGTGCTCGGCCTCACTGGTGGCGGCATCACCGTGCTCTTCATGCGCGGTGCGTTTAGGGGGGGGTGAGGGGGGTGGGAAGGTGAAGGGGGGGAGCAACTTGGAGGGGGAAAGACAGGAGGGACGTGGGTGGAAGAGGGGGGCGGTGGAGGGGGGGGGGAAAGGAGGGGAGAAGGAAAGGGGGCGGTGTGTTGTTCATTTGAGGCATAGCCAAGAGGTTCGTGGAAGGTGACGCTGCTGCAGACCGTCATGCTCTCGCTCTTCCTCGTGCTCGGCCTCACTGGCGGCGGCATCACCGTCCTCTTCATGCGCGGTCAGTGCCCTGCCAGGGGGAGCGGGAGGGCTGGGAGGGATTTAAAAAGGGGAGAGCGGGGGGGACGGGAGGAACGTGGGGGGAAGAGGGGGTGGTGGAGGGGCGAAAGGATGAGAACGTGTGTGGGGAAAAGAATGTCCTCCTCCCTCCCTCCTTCTCCCCTTCTCACGCGAACCCTCCTTCTTTCTCGTCCGTCACCCCTCATCCCCCACCCCCCCACGCTATACAGAGAAGCCGGGTGGCGTGGAGGGTGGGTACGGGTGGATACCGGTGATGGCACCGGCGCGGCTGCGGCTGGTGGACGCGGAGGGCGCCAAGGACCTGCTCGTGGACGCATTCGAGGGCGGCAAGGGGTCCCGCCTCGCCATCGTGCTCGCCACTGATGTTGACTTCGGCAGAGAGCGTGAGCTGGTTCTCATTTTCTTTGCACAAGTGGGGGGGCGGGAAAGGAGGGGGTTCTTTGTGCTAAGGAAAATGGGTCGTAGCCAACTCGAGTGATTACACTGACGAGTCTTGTTGTTTTCCCTGCCCATCCCATCCCGTTTATCTATGTCGGCGCGTGCAGGAGGAGACGACCCCCCCACGGTGTACCTGCTGGTGCCCATCAACATCACCAGCTCGCGCCGCTTCTCTCTCTTCAACCAGGGCGGCGATTACACCCACCACGTGGAGCGCGCTCAGGAAATAGGTGCGCGCTCAGATCAAAGCGCATGCGCCCTCCCCACCCCAGTCTCCTCATCCCCTCTGCTTCCCCGCATCTGTCTCACACCCCCTTGTCCCTATCAACCTGCACCCCAGTCCCCCTTGCCTGCGCCAGTCAACCTGTTTCTCTCCCCTCCCCCTCCTTCCTCATCCTTCCTTTCTCCTTCCCCCTCCCTCCTCCCTCCTTTCTCTTCCCTCCTCGCCCTCGCCCCTCTCTCTTGCTGTACCAACAGTGAACCGGCAGGCACCGAATGCGCGGTTGGTGGTGGTGCTGTACGAGGCGGGTGGGTGTGTGTTCACAGAGGCCACGCTGCAGAGCCTACGTCTTACTGCTGACAAGGTGCGCTCTCACCACGCCAAAAGGGGGTGCGCTGGCTGCTGCTGGGTGCTTTGACAGCGTGCTGCTTGTAAGCGCGGGCACCGTTCGTCGTGTTGCAATCAGGCACATCTGTCTTCTAACCACCAACCTGCTGCATTCACTCTGTATCTTCCCTTTCCCACAAGGTCGAATCGTGGCCTCATGCTTCTGCAACCACACCTCCATGGATTGCACACTGCCGCTCATGTACACGCTCCTCATGCTCGCCCGTTCCTCCCTCTCCCCTCCCCCCTCCCCCTCCCCTTCTCCCCCCTCTCCACGGTAGATTGCCTTTGAGGCGGTGCCCACGGACGCGGAGTTCCCCACCAGCGACCACCTGGTGCTGCTCTGGCTCGACAAGCACGAGGGGTTGCGTGCATCTGACAGCGCGCAGGAGTCCGATTTAACGGCTGACATCAAGTCGCAGCCGTGGGCCCAGTACCTGCTCATGCGCTCGGGCCGCTGGGGCCAGGTGCACGCCCAATTGTGAGTGCAACTGCGCAACCCTTTGCGGTGCTGGTCTGACGTTTGTGCATGGACTTGGGAGTTGGGGTTTTAAGGGTTTGGTTTGGATGTTGCTGCGTCTTAGCATGCTCATCCCCTGTGTCACATGCACCACATGCACCCCTGCAACTGCCTCTTCCCATATCAACCTCCGTCCTCACCACCCCCACCACCTTCCTTTTTCCCCCCCACCTGCTTGTGTTGTGCACAGCATGTAACCTGGGTTGGTGCTGAATCAGCTGTGCTGCTGCTAGATGTCCTCCTGACAAACCACATGGAGTTCCTTCTCGTTCATCCTAGTATATTCTTGATTGTCGACTCCCCTGGTGATACGGTCCCTCTCACCGCCACACCTCCCTTGTGTAGATCTTAGGCCAGATACGGTATGGTTTGCATTGCAGCTGGGTATGTGTAACTGCTAGGCAATGATCCAGTCAGTACCTCATAAAAATGTTTGTTACTCAACCATTAACCAGACTGTGGTTGATGAAATAAAATGTATATTTTTAAAAGCTGTAACGCTTTTCAAAACTATGTATTTTGAAAGCGAAGCTGCTTGTAATGTAGGATTTGGCAGCGTCGAGCCGCGCTAAACGCCCGTTTTGGAGTACAAAACGTGGGCTGGAGGTCATTTCCCTCCACCCACGTCTCTCATTTTCAAACGGTTTAGCCGATTTTCATTCTCAACTCTCGTCTCCCACTCTCAAGCTGGCGAAGTTGAAGTCTCTTCCCCGATTTCAATCCCCGTCGACTTTACTCTCTGACATTTTCGCTCACAACGCAGCAACCATGGCACTTAACGGCGGCGAAGGTAATACCGCTACCGCCTCTGTTCGACCCAAGTCCGGAAGAAACGCACGCGAAATTGCCGGCGATCGTCCTAACAAGCGTCGGGCAGACGACGGGGAAATTTCCCCGACTGGCGTCGACGTACTGCTGGGCGCGACCGAGGCTCACGCCCCTGGAGTCGAGGCACACGCCCCTGGAGTCGAGGCACACGCCCCTGGTGTGCCTCGAGCCCCTGTGGCCCCTCAGGCGCTGGCCGCGACAGAAGGCGCCAAGTCGGCGCCAACCAGCGCGGCTGGCACCCCGCGTCCGCGTCAGCGCCGCAGGCCCGTGGGCCCTGACGCGCCTGTAGGCCCTGACGCGCCTGTGGGGCCTGACGCGCAAGTGGCGCCAAGCTTCACTGCAGCCCAACTGCAGCAGCTTTTGTACCTGTTACAGCAGCAGGCCCCTGCTGTTACGGAAGAAATCGCTACACCGAACACGACTTCCGTTTCTGCTAAAAGCGAAAAGGCGAAAACGGAGTCTGTGAAGCGCGCTCGCACGACAAAAACCGGAAGGGGCGAAGACACACGCGCCGCTGCCGCTCCAGTCATGAACAACCCCATCGACAGCGACAATGAAGACGACGACGATGGTGAGGCACATGCCTTAAATGCCGCTTTTGCACCCGTTGAGCAACTCCCCCCACTCCCGTCTCCCAATCCCACTCTAACCGCCGCCTCGTTCAAGAACGTCGCCGTGCGCGAGCAAGCCGAGGTCCTGGAACACCTGCGGGCATACCTGAAGCATGCAGAGCACAAGGTGCGACACAACGAGCCGGAAAGCGCCCTCGAATACCTTGGCGAAGCTTTCACACTTATCACCAACCGCTTCAAGCTACTCCACGTCGCCGACTACACCAACTTCCGCACGGCAAATCGCTTCAAGCTCTACGAAGATAAGAGCGTCTTCACCTCACGCCCGTTCAAGCAAGCCGTCGCGGACGTGGCGGCGATGGAGCGCGCACAAGGCAATTTCAACCGTACCCCACGTGGCGGAGGGCGCGGGCCCATGGCATTTGACAACAAGCGCGGCCCCCCATTTGACGGCAATGGAAGGAGCTTTCGTGGCTCATGCTTCCGTTGTGGGCAGCCAGGCCACATGGCCAATGCTTGCCCGGAAAATGGGGGAGGAGCCCAAGGGCCGGCACCGGTGGTGTGAACGCCCTAGGGGGCGGTGCCGAGAGGCTTGAATGGAGATGATGGCACTAGGGAGTGCAAAGGCGGCCTATCCCATAGGGGATGTTAGAAAGGCCGCGGGCCTACCCCAAGGCAAGGGGTGTAGGACTAGGAGTCCTAGGTGAACATGTGATTGCAAGTAATGCTTGTATGCTCTTTTGAATGAATGGGAAGGCCTAATGGGCAAAGTTGTTGGACTCGCTTGAAAAAAAAAAAAAAAAAAAAAAAGGAGCATGCGCTCTTGAGGTGTGGAAGAACCTGAAGCGGGGAACACCTATACGGCATGGAAGCCTACGGTACATGCGAACAAGAGAGAAAGAGATAGAGAGCAAAAAAAAAAAAAAAAAAAAAAGGGAAGTGGCAAGATGTGCGGGCTATGCAAGCCCTGAAATGCAAAGGAATCACGGGTGAAGGGGGGAAAAAAAAAAGGAAAGAGTGGGTGTGGGACTTGGGGTCCCATGATGCCAAGAGCACACGCCATAATGCAAGACAAAGGGTGGCCTACCAAACATGGAAGGCAGCAAATGGCCATCCGAAGAGCATGCGGCACGTGAAAAAAAAAAAAAAAAAAAAAAAAAAAAAAAAAAGGCAAGGGCCAAAGCGGCCGAACGAAGGGGCTGCTCCGGTGGAGCACCTCCGGTTGGGCACATCTCAGAACACCAGAGTGCAGGTGTAGGCACGCAAAGGTCTCACGAACCACAAAAAAAAAAAGAGAGAGAGAGAGAGAGAGAGAGAGAGGGAAGAGGAAGGGGCGTCGGCATGAACATTTGCGGGCATTGGATCTAGTTAATCGTACGCACAACCTACAAGCCAAACGCCCCTGCTAAAAAGAAGCCCGTCCCGAATTACCGAGTCGGATGGTAGAGCGCAGGGTCCTCGCTAGGATTTGAACCCCCCTGATGCGTCAGACGGGCCCTTCGGGCCCGTCTGATGCATCAGATATTTCGCCTTTGCGTGTCAGATGCATCAGAAATTTCAAAAGAACTTGTCTGACCAATTAAAATAGAGTTTCTAGCGTGTAGATGCACGTGGGATAACAAGGTGAGTCTGACTTTTCTGGACCTTTCACATTCATTCGCTGTACAAACTGGTGTGATTCGCACTTCACTGGTCTCAGCAAAATCACCCTAACACGGCAGATTCGCCCTGTCAGAGCACAAAATATTCGCCCAATCAGAGCAAATTTGCTCTGACACGGCAGATTCGCGACGTCAGAGCGCAACATGTTCATCCAATCATAGAAAACTCGTCCTGACACAACATTTGGCAAATTTACAGGCGCGACTCGGGAAAACGGGGATTGAGACACAAGTGTCCCCGCAGGAATATACCCTAACATGTTTCGATTTCAGACGAAACATATATTACATTTCTGATGAATCAGATGAAGACAAAAATTCATTTCTACTCAATCAGATGAAAAAATAAATCATTCCTTGAAAATCAGATTAACTGGAAAAAAATCGTCTGGAAACTAAGACAAACAGACAAAAATGTCTGATGTCGAGGACCCTGGTAGAGCGTCACCACTCTCACGCGATTGGTCCAGAGTTTCAAGACACCGGCGTCACTTCCACCTCTTCGTCTTCAGCCTTGGTAGTGTGTGCTGCGGTAAGGAGTGCACACTAATGCTTCATATTTTACTATTCGTAACACCTAATACTTGGAAGTATCCCTAGATCCACATACGGTAGCGAGGAATGACGGTTGAGCAGACTCAAGCTAGCTGCTAGAGTCGTCCAGTATAGTAGCTAGCGACCTGCAAGCATGACAAGCATCCCTCTCAGCTAGACCTTCTCTAGCTGGTATTACGGTAGCTCATTTCATTAGCTATTGTATCGCTTGCTTGCTTCTTCCCTGTTCCCCCACGCATAACCCCTCCTCCTGCTCATCTTCAGACTATCCCCTTAACATCCACATTAATATCCTCACCACACCACCACGTTCAAACTAACCATCAGATACAGCACAAACGTCGCACATCCCCTTTTCCTGCCCTTCCTTCCTCTCCCAAGTATCCTGCTCTCCCTTCCCTTCCCTTCCCTCCCTTCCTTCCTGCCCTTGCCTCTCCAGGCGTCCCCTTCCCAAGCCTACTTCTCTGTCCCCCCTGCTCCACTGCCCATCAACCATCACCCTTGCACACACATAAAGAGGGGAAGGAACCCACCAGTTAGGGGGAGGAACACCTGCAGGAGTGCAAAGGTAGCCCTTTTCCGAGTGCCCCCACCCCCGTTCGATACTCCCTTCACTCTAAAATCGGAAACTCTAAAGTCAGAATCCCTCACACCACTGGAATCCCTCTCCTGCGCTCTTTCTAGAATCCTCGCCGCATCTCAGCAACGGTCGGCTGCCAGATCGGCCCGGATCGCGCCAGGAACAGCGTGTACGCGCGCGATAGGTTCATCCACCCGTTGGGAGGCGGCCCGTACGCCGCGCTCTGCTGCGACGCGCTCGCGGGGACGAACGCGCCCGACGCGGCGCGCCCCTGGTTCCAGAAGCCGTACAGCGCCTCCTGCTGCGCGCTCGGTAGCGTGCTAACGAGGTCGTTCATACCGCGTACCATTTCATCTGCCTGCACCGGTGAGCACTCGCAGTGGCAGAAAACGAAGCTGTCCTGCGCCGCGATTGCCGCTGCCATCCCCCCCGCGCCCGCCGCTCCCGCTACTGAGCCAGCCCCAGCCACGGGTTTCCCGCCTGCTCCGACGCTCAGCGTCGAGAGAAGCTGCGCCGTCGCGGCGGCTTGCGCGGACATCGCGGCGCTTCCGCCGGCGCCGGACGCGGCGGCACCCTCGCCGCCGGGTCGCGAGGAGGCGGCGGGAGGGTAACGCAGGCAGTAGTGTAGCAACAGCCTCAGCCAGATCGACGAGAACAGCACTCTTAAGTCCGTCGGCGCGACGAGGCGGCGCGTCGCGAAGGCTTTAAGTACGCCGTGCACTGCGGTCTTGACTAGCAGATGGCGGTGCCGCGAGGTGGTCTGCAGTCCCATAGTAGACTTAATATCGTCGTGGAGCCGCTTATCAGTAGAGAGCCAGTGAAATACCTCGTCAGCTAAACCATACTCCAGCATCACGCCTACTAGCCATGCCATAGTCCCCTCCTTACCCCTCAACCGCGCCAGGAGATTAATATCCGTTACGGTTGACGTCGTCGCCGCCAGCGTCGCCGGCGCGGGCTTTCCGCCGATGTCCCAGTACGTGCGGATGATCGCGCCGGCGCCGGTCGCGGCGCCTCGGCTCTGCGCCTCCCTCAGCAGCGTGTTGACAAGGCCTACGAACGCGTCTAAGAGCGCGCCGCGCTTCGCCTCGAAGCCAATAACCGGAAGCTCCCCGTCCTCCCCGGCCTGCCCGCCGCTTTCTTCCGCCGCCGCGCGCAGCCGCTGCTGCTGCTGCTCCCACTCGCTCCCCGCTTCCCCCTCCCCCCCAGCATCCCCCGCGCCGGGGCGCTCGGCGCTCAGCAGCAAGCACACGGCGTTCCGCGCCTCCTCCTGCATACGCGATAAAGGATTCGCTTCGGTATGGATCACGGCGACCGCCAGGAGCGACCGCAGGGTCGTGAGCGGATCGTTTACGGGGGGCAGGCGGGCAAAGACGCGCTCCGAGGAGAGCGCGGTCGCTGCGGCGGAACCCGCGCCGGCGCCGCCGGCGGCGGAGGCGGTGACGGCGGAGAAGGGGATGGAGCCGGCGAGTTGCAGCTCTCGCAGATGTTGGTGGATGACGCGCGTCTCGGCGGGAGACCAGGGAACGGATTCTAGGAACTGCAGGCACGCGATCACCGCCGCGTCGAATTGCAACCGCACCGCGAGAACAAGCGCTTCGAGGACTTTCTGCACGCCCATGAGAGGTCCTGCTGGGCGCTGCGGGGTGGGGCCGGTCCCCGATGCCGCCGCCGCTGCTGCATCGGCATGTGACGGAATCGAGGAAGGTGTTATCGGGGATGATGATGATCCGAGAAGCGGGCCGAGAGCGACGACGACGGCTTCGGGCAGCGGGACGTAGAACATGCGAAGCACGGCGGCGTACACTGCAACGTCGCCCGCGTCGCCGAGCTCTTCGTCGAGCACGTGCGGATCCTGCGGCGTCGCCATGGCGCCGCCGGAGCCGCTACCGGCGGCGGCGGCGGCGGCGTCCGGGAGGAGGCATGCGAGGTACTTGCTCTTATCGACGAGTAGCGAGAGGTGAAGGGGGAAAGTGGCGAGAGGCGCAGGCGCATCGCGGGAGGCCCACACGCGGAGTAGCACGTCAGCGGTAGTTCGGTCCCCCCATTGCGGGCGCGGGGGAAGCGGCGGAGCGGGGAGGGCGGGCAGGGATGCGGGCGCAGATTGCTGTTGCGCGGGCTGATTGAACGACATGGCGTGCCGGAAGGACGCGCGGAGTCTGTAGAAACGCGCGCGGTAGCGGTCTTAACGCTGCTTGGGAAGCTCTTCCTTTGCGTATGTGCCCTCGAACCTAGTCTTGAGGCGGTCGATGCTCGCGCCTTGTCGCCTTGAGCGAATGAGTGACACGGATCAGTGCTGGCGTAGGCCGGAAATAAGGCTGTAAGTGCCTGGGACGACAACGGAGGCAATATTGGAATAAGAGACAGCACTGATGCCACTGCTAACACGGAGCTTTCAACTCAAACTAGTCTAGGCCCTGGATCTGTACCATATCTCTCTGCTGTGATTGATCAATTTTGCTTTTTTGTCTAGTCCCTTTCCTCTTGTTACGAGTGGTTTTGCCCTTCAGTGTGCATGTTTGCAGGGCAGAAATTTGGGTATCGGTCGGGCAGAGCTTCGGCATGACGAGAGCGCTGATACATTTGGTTCGGATAAGGTTTCCGCAAGATACGACTCGAGAAAATAGTGGCTTGGAGATGTTGTGGCATGGGTGCGGTTCGGGGTAGGTCTGTCTGTGGCCGGGTGGTTTGGTCTGAGTGGTTCAGTCAGGCCGCGTCGGTCGGCGCGCTTGATGGTTGGACTTGGGGCCCCTGCGAGTCTGCGACGCGGTCTTAGGCCAGGGCCGCCAGGCCCGTTTACCTCAGTTGTCACGTGACCCGCCAAACAAGGTTTCGTCGCAACGGATGTCTTTGGGACGCGGGTCGCACGAACCAAGTGTGCGACATGCTTTTGAGTTGTGACGAATATACTCGCGACTTGCCCGAACTTGATCCGTGCGGTGCGTAGACTGGTATTAATAACGAGTCATAGGAATCGAATCGTCTGCTTATTAAAAACTCCACTCTTCTACTGGCAAGACAACAACATATTATGGATTTTGTTTTTCATGTGCAGCATTCTGATGAGCGTTTCAATCAGTCGAATAAGAGGCAAACTTGAGAGTAGACATCCGCAAACGGAACACGCTTCGTCGGGACACAATGAGCGGACTGCCACTCTTCCTCCTACGCACATACAAATCGTTGTAGCTATGGTCTACATCTTACAAAACAACACCAAGCAAGCAAGAGACTACTCCATTACAAGATATACGCGTTCCCCACCCCACAAGGTATTTTTATTTTGACTTGTATGTATGTGATACTTGAGCATCAACATAAAAGCAATCCAATTTGATTGCAGCTGTGCAAATTTGCTCAACAAACCAAATGATCAAACCAAATCAAGGCTGTTGCCTGCAACTCAAGCATGCACTCCGAAGGCCAAAAGGCAGGCAACATTGAATGGCACATCTTCAAACCCCCGACAGACGTTTCCACAGCACACACTCAAAGCGAAGCTTCCTTGTACGGTATAGGTCATCCACTCAAACCATCCACTTAGATGAATGTAAATGCCACCATCTCCAAGCATTTCCAAGAAGAAAATTAATCCACAATCAGACAGGCTGGGATCAGCTGGCGGCAACAGTCATGTTGCTGCGCATGGCCAGTATCTTGCGGTGCTGGTTTGAGTGCTTGCTCTCCTCGTACTCCGGGCTGTTAGCAGGCCGGTACTCTGGACACAGCTTCCCCTTCTTGAACCGCACGCCACATGCATTGCAGAGGGTCTTGGGCCCTGCAGGGCCCATCCTCCACTGGGGGGTCTTGGTGGACTTGCAGTGCACACACCGGCGAACGCCATTGCTGACATTACTGGCGAAAACTGCTGCAGCTGGATTCGCAGAAGCGGCGGCATTAGCGTTCTGAGTTCCCGAGAAGCTCTCAAGACTGCTGGTGCTGTTCGTCCTGAACCAACCCGAACTAGAACCGGAGCCAGCACCAGCACCAGGAGAACCATCAGCACCAGCCGCCGCATCTGACCAGCCAGGGGAGCCGGAACCAGAGGGTGAATTCCACGTCTCTGCATACTCCGAGGCATAAGGACTCCCACTGCTGGACGAACCAGGCACCAAGTGAAGGACGCCCAGAGCCGTGGTGCCACCAAACGCTGTAGCGGCGTCTCTCTTGTTCTTAGGGGTGCGAGGCAGCCCACGTGCGTGGGCAGCAGGGGAATCGCTGGTTGCCCCATCGTGGCTCTCCTCCATCATTCCGAACCGGAAAGAGGCAGAAGGAGCAGCTGAGCCACGCATGCGCTTTGGCCTTCTCACGTCCTCCAGAAGGGCCTGCAGGAACGCCGTGCGCGGCTGCACCCAGGAAGTTGCTCCTGCTGCTGCTGCAGATGCAGTCGACTGCGGAGCTGTGACTGCTGGCAGGGTGTCAGACGAGAGAGCTCTTGGGATACTGGACGCGAAGAGGGACGCAGAGGCAGACGGAGAAGCAGACGCAGAAGCAAAGCTGGTTGATCCAGAATCAGCAGCCACGTGGAGGCCGTCAGAATTGGCAGAATCAGCCACAGTGAATACCTCGGACCCGTCATGGCCCTTGCTGTCATCGCTTGCAGCAGCACCAACGGAGGCAGACACTGCACTCGCATCAGCGCAAGAAACCTCCATGGAAACCCGGCGCCTCTTAGACCGAGGCGCCTTGGGCCAGCAGGTGGCCAAGCAAGCAGCGGCAAGCCAGCCGTGCGGAGCTTCGGGAGAGCCGAGCGACGCCCACATCTCGTCATCCTCCATTACGCCGCTGAAATCCTCTCCGTCCCCATCCTCTTGGTAAAAGTCCGGGTACAGAAGCACCCGCCCAGGCAACCCCCCTGCTTCTCCCAAGTGGAGGCCGTCGTGAGTATCGCCTGAGAGCAGATTGTTGCTCGACTGGACCGCTGCGAGAGGCTTGGTGCTGCAGACGGAGGTTGCCGAGCCTGGCGACGTGCCTTGGCGCCGCAGGACTGACACTGGGCTGCCGACAGCCTCCTCCTGGAGGGATTCCAGAGAGGCGATTGTGAGGAGCTCTCCCTTAGCGGATGCATGAGACTGGGGTTGCTCGGGTTGCAGGTCCTGGGCAGAGAAGGTTGACCAGTCGTATGGGAAGTCGAGGGTACCCTGCATTTGCCAAGATAACAACAGAGGAAGAAAAAATTGAACATTGCACGCGATTGATACAAATGATTGACACCGCGTGCAATTCTGGTTCGTGCGTGGTGGTGACCAAGGCCAAGACAGCAAGCAAAACGGGTTGAGAAAAACACGGGCGAGCAAAAGCGCGAAAACAGATTAAAACCGCCACTGACCATGGAGAGAGCGGCGGGAGGCAGTAAATCCTCGTGAACCAGGTCCAAGGACGCATCCTGAGGCACAGTCAACGGCTTCTGGTTGATGGGGCCTGCAATGTCGTCATTGGAGAACTCCATAATCTCCACCTCCTCCACCACCAGCTTGACTTCCGCCACTGCTAGCTTCTTTGAATCCGTGATCTCCGTGATCTTTCCAGAACTAATTCCTTGGTGAAAATTGGTCTTCGGACTGGCCTGCTCCTCGGAATTGACGCCGTACTGCTGCTGTTCCTGGTTCTGACAGGGATTATTCCGGTGTTGCACTGCATGCCGCTCGAGCACTTGTGGATGTTGCGGCTGCTTCGAAATCGCCTGAGAACACGAAAAGCGAACGACCGAGGGTATAGAAGGTTAGCACTTGCTATGCAAGAGCAATGTACCCAATAAACTACACAATGTACCACATTTCGCCCTCTCCTGACAAACAACCAAGTACAATGCGAGTCCTGATGGCAACTCTCTTATCAGTGCACGTCTCGCTTGTGCAAACATCGTGCTCATGCCAGCCAGACACTCTGTAAAACGGATGGCAGAGCGTTTCTTGCGTTACGCGGCGTACCAAGAGTGGAGACCGTAACGCGGAAATATATTCTGCTGGCGAGGAAGCAACGGATTGCTGATGAGCGCTATCCATTCTCCCGCCACTCCTGCTCCAAGGAGCACCGGCGCTCGCGGAGCAACCCGTCGCCGACGGCGGGACGGACGGAACCGAACCTGCTCGAGCTCCGCGAAAGGAGACAGATGCTCGGACGAATGGACGGTGCGCCGACGACGATGTAGGTGGTTCAGACCAGGAGTATGGGTGGTGGTCAGTGGCAATGAGTGCGCGCGGGTGTGGCGGCGGAAGGAGCGGAGGGAGCTGACGAGTGGCGAGCTGACAATGAGGTAGAGACGGTGAAGACAAGCGAGGAGCCACATGCGAGGGGGTCATGGGTGACCATGTCGTCTGCGTGACAGAAGACAAGGATGAATGGGAACCGGAGAAAAGATAAGTGAACTGAAAACACTGGAACAGACGAAATGTGCCTTACAAACTATGACGTAAGGTGTCAGAAGCAGGCCCACGCATGTTCGAGCTGCATCTGAGTTACCAAGCACGTTATACTCGTCGTGTTTGAAGCTTTAACTATCACACAGCAAGACGGCAAAAATCTTGAAGAGCCATTCTCTCGGCTTACCTTCGACGAAAGCACATGGCTTGCCATCGACACGGCCTTCCTTGCAGCGAAAGACGGCTCGTTTGAGGCCATTGCTGGAGGAAGGGTAAATCTTCAAACGGTTTGTATTAATTGTTTAGCTCGGAATATTTCCGCGCTACAAAATGTACTAGGCTCCCTCTTCCAGGCTCCAACAGCTGCTGCTTCCAAAGCAAGCCAGTTCTGGTCGTCAACCTCGTTCCTTGGTTGGCCAGCGTCTTTCAGGCAAGGTCGAATCAGCTCAGCACAATCCAGTCAGCTTAGGCTTTCAGGGTCGCCTGAGACTTGCCTAAGCTTCGCCTGCGCTGGCAAGTTGGAAATTGTGCTTGGCCTGAATTATTTCATGGTCCTCAAACCTGGCTATCACATGCGACGCTGTTTCTCCTGCTTGCTTGTTGCTTGGCTCACAAGGTTTTGGAGGATTTGGTTGGTCTGTGCGGTGGGGAAACTTGCTCGTGCGGAAAATCGCTCGCGCGGACCGCTGTTCGCGGGAGTTTCTGCGCGCGTGGGTGTCTGATCGACAGTGGCTTTGCGCGCGCAGCCTGGCGACGCTGGAAGGTCGGGAAAGGGAAGGGGAAACCGTGCTGATTTTGGGGGAAGCGACGGAAGTCGCGGGTGCGGAGCTACGTAAGGAAGGCTTACGTGTCTGTGCTGACGCGGAGGCGCCCCACCATGTGCCCCAAGCCAGCCAACTAGAACACATTGTTCCCTCGTCGGTTTGCCCCACCAGCACTCCACTGATTTTTTCCAAGAACCTAGATCTCCACGCACACTCTGGGCCCATGTCGACTGGACAACACGTCATTCCCTCCCAGAATGTTTTATTGTTCGCCCGGGTTTCCTGGCACGGAGTCCGTGATAGTGGGAGAAGCACTGAATGCTCCATGCAGGATTTTGCGCGCCAAGCCCACGGAAGCACTCGGAATGCACCGATTGGTTGTAATTCTAGCCTACGGCAATGGTTCGTGAGATTCTTGCAGCCAAGCGCCTTCCTCGTTGCTTCGGCTACGCGCACCCATCTCACCTGGCACAAGATTTCAGAGCGTATTACCCTTTTACAGATCAAAATTTCCTCATCACCGCCCAGTCCTGCTTTGCCCCTAGCCACCCGATCTCTGCATTGCTGCGAGTTCCCTCCGGCGCTTCCGGAAAGTCCCCAAACCCCAGTTGATACAGACAATACCGACAGCAAGCGAGCAACAACTAACCCCTTTCCCACCCCCTCCCCCCCCCCTACCGAACCCCCGTCCCAATATACCCCATGCCCACCAATGAATTGAGAAACTTCTAACAAACTGGTTCGGGTCGGAGAAAAATTGCCGGAAAAAACTCGATAGGAATAGCGAAATAAACACGGGCTCCCCCAGTAGGTTGCGGGCTGCGGTTCAACCCCCTCATACGCAACCCTCACATCACACCTCTTTGTCCCTCGAAAGAGCACGAGAACAGTCCGTACAGGTCTCGCATCCTCCCAGCCCGCTTCGTCGCTGGCTCTTTGAAGGCCATTCTTCGCCGTCAAGTCGCACTTTGCTGGCAGCTTTGCAGAAACCCAGAAAATGTAGGGGCAAGGCGAAACTTGATCGTTGTAACACATTGAGATCTTTGGTGCCCTGCCCAAATGCTGGACGTGCCAAGCCATGTGTTTTGCCACAGCGAATCACGGATGCTCGTCGAAACTGCCAAAAGTGGGGACAGCTAGATCGAATCACTCAGATATCTTTCGTGTGGCCAATAAATCTCTTGCTCATCTCCTTCCAGCCGCCTATGAAACGCCCTGTGATATTGTGCACTTCGTCACACTCACAGTTGCCACAAATCGGCACATAGACGTAGACCGCACTAAAAAAAAGCAGAAGCACCATAATTCATAATCAGAATGTCAGTCAGCCAATCACCTCTGTAAGAAACCTACTCTAAGAAAGTAAGGTCAGATGCCAATTAGAAGGCCACAGAGAAAACGAAGGAATGGTTACATAGCCGTACTAGCACACAAAGGCTAAAAGGGAAATGGGAAGTCTGTGGTGAGAGACAAAAAAAGCGGGAGAGAGCGAGAATGGAGGGGCCAAGAGGAACAGGGGGAGAGAAAGTGTGAAAGAAGGGCAGAGACTGGGAAAGGGTGAGAGAGGTCAACAACTGGTGGCATTTCCACTAAGCTAACCCTCATAGACCCCAAGGCCTCCTGCAGCCATCAGGACAGCAAGATGTCCTCGGAACCAGCCTGCCACCACACATCAGTCCTAAGAGCATCAAACAGCAGCCGACCGACAACAATGAAAAACACATACTGTGAAGCACTAGCACCTAACACTTGGCTCACTGGCTCTATCCGATCAAAGGCTCTGAAAAGACATGCACCAGCAGCACCAGCAGAAGCAGTGGCAGCAGCAGCAGCAGCAGCAGCAGCAGCAGCAGAATGGCTAAGCACTTGCTTTCAGGCACTGCTGCTCCAACAAGCTTCTTCTGGCCGCACCATACACGATCACCTCACACGCCACCCCTCCCCCCCCCTTCCTCCCAGCGCCCACCTGCCAGCACTCCTCCGCCTCCTGCTCCCTTAATCTTTCGCACGCACAACCGTTTCGCTCTTGCTGGGCTATTCCAGCCATGATACACCCATCGGCCCTTCCCATCAGCCCTTCCCATCAGCCCTTCTCCTCCGCTTCCCTGGATGATCATTGTTCACTCTTAGAGCTCCTCACGAAGGCCCTCCTCAGTCTCCTTCCTAAACCCTGTTCCATCCTGTTCGATGTCCCTTATCCAAAATAATTCATTGAAAATAACCCAGCGCCCTCTCTCTTTGTGCTCTCTCCTGCTTTGCCAGCATTGCAACTTGCTATCCACCCCAGCCTTTCTATCCGTCCAAGGCACACACCCTGCCCAGACTCCTTCCATCTGCATGTCCAGCCTTCCGCCCTCTCCACACACTTGCTCCCAGCCCCTCAACCATCACCTCTCACCAAATAACCTTCACCCATCACATCTCCATCACCCCTCACAAATGATCGCTCACCCATCCCTACACACACACCATCGCTCTCCCTCCCCCACTACAAAGCCCCCATCGACGCAGCTCCCTCCATTCCATCCCCACTCCCCCCACCCCCTCCCCCTCCCCCTCCGTCCATCATAAACCCTCTCATGCCCCCTCCCCCTCCCCCTCCTCCGCCCCCCAGCCCCAAATCCGCATCGTCCATCCTTAAAGCACAACTAGCCAGCCTAGTAATCGCCTGCTGCAGGCTCGGCTTGCATAGAGCCTCTAACTCCTCATACAGCCTCACAAACTCCTCATGCGTCTTTGCAGCCAGCTCGAAATCCTCCTGCCGCTGCCGGTTTGCCGATTTCCTCGCACCAGGCGTGCCCATCTGCAGAGCAGACGTCAGCCTGTTGGTCACATCTAGGTGCTTCTTCCATGCAGCACGGCACTCCCCCGCCTTGCTCTTCACCACCAGACACGCCTCTTCCATCAGCTCTTTCCCGTCTTCCATAGCCATGACCGACCCTTTGAATCTCTCGTCCGCCTCTGCCACCCTCCTCTCTTCCTCCTCCACTGCCCTCTGAGCCGCCGCCAGCTTTTCCTTAGCTGCATTCAGCCGCGATACCGCCGCGTCTGCCTGCTTCCGGTCCTCCTTAATCTGCTTCTCCAGCTGCTTCGTCCCCTGGGAGAATCGCAGCAGCGCCTCCTGCTCAAGCCTCATCACCTCTTCCAACTCCTCGTCCTGCTCCCCTTCCAACGAACCTTCCACCATGCTTCCCGAACCAGACTCCACAAGAGAAAGATCGGTGGTACCGAGCTCCGACGAACCTACCGATAGCCTCCCAAGCACCGAGCCTCCCACGTGGTTCGGCGCGAGGGGGGGGAGATGAGTGTCCGAACCCCCCATGCTATCCCCATCTTCCTCTAGCACTTGCGCCGGCTGATGGTGCTGCCGGGACCGCCGCGGTTTGGCACTAGCCCTGGAGCTTCTGCTCGTGCAAGACATCTCCCCTTCACTCATATCCTGCCCAGAAGCCGAATCCACAGCCGAAGACCTCCTCTTGCTCTTCTCCTTCTTCTCCTTCTTCTCCTTCTTCTCCTTGCTGCTCTTTTTCTTCTCCCCGTCCCCTTCCTCATCCCGAAAGCTCATTGACGCACTCGATCCCGGGCTCCGAACGTCTAAGTGATCACTATTAGTCTTAACAAACTCCATACCCCGCGATCGCCTGGACGGAACGCCCGTCGAGGGCCGCTGCTTCTGCATCGGGTCATCATTCGTCTTCAGATTCAGGCTCGCCCAAATCGTATCCATATCCGCTCCTGCTGGCGCTCCTCCTCCCGCTCCTGCGCCATACTCCTCTCCGCCCCCCCCTTCCCCTCGCATACGGCTCTTCTCTTCCATAACCTGAACGTCCATCTTCAGTTTTTCCAGCTCTTTCTTTTGCTTCGAGGATAGAGCGCCCTTCCGAGACGACCTTTTGCCCCCACTGCTCGACTGTCTCCCGCTTTCCACGCTCATAAAGCTCGCTTCAGACCGCTCCGATTCACTCCCAGGGCTATCCTCCCCTCCCCCGCCCTCTCTCGCATCCTTTGCTGACTCTACCGATCGCCGGCGGCTCATCCTCTCCTTGCCCCCTCGCGGTATCCCCCCTCCTGGTGCGGACGAAACTGGTGCTGCTGATGCTGATGCTGCTGCTGCAGCAGCAGCAGCCGCTTCTTCCTCCTCTTCCTCGATCTGCTTTGCTGCCATTGCTGCTGCGTGCGCTGCTTCCTGCCTGAGCGTTGCTGCGTCCCGAACAGCCCCCCCTGCTGCAACCATCCCACCCATCCCACCCATGCCGCCCATACCAGGCGAACCCATGCCGCCTCCTGCATGGTGATCGTCCATATCGTCCCCAGCCGTAGGGTGCCATGGGCCCATAGCGAGGCACACTGTAACGAGGTCTTCTCTGCTGGTAGAGGTGACTTTGATAGAGTCGCAGAGAACAGAGGCAAGCACCTGGACGGGGGGAGACGCGGAGAGAAGGAAATGAAGACACGGCATGAGGACAGGGGAACGGAGGAAAGGAGGAGAGAACGAGCAGGAAGCAGAGGATTAGGAAGGATATACGATAGGAGAGGAGAAAACAGCACGGAAACAACCCCAAGAAGAGTGGAGAGTTTGAAAGGAGAAAGATAGGATACGGAAGACGAACTAATGATACACAACCTGGAAAACAAACAGGTTCAGGTGCATTAGGTATGGTAAAGCAAAGTTTCCTGGTATGCACGCTAGGTCAGGGAAATTTAGGTCTGATGGCATATCGGCACCCCGCAGCGAGGCAAGTGCACAGCACATAAGCTTTCGAGTTTCGAGATGTCCCGAATCCCGTTGCACCACGCTGCACTGCGTTGCTTCCACGCACTCGCTGCAAGTATGGTGTGCACTCTAAAAAAAGACCAATCAGAAGAGAATGAGCACTTGAAACGAGTTCGAGCGCTTGAAACATGCTGCTCGTAATGCAGTCACCAAGGCAAAGAGATAAGAGGTCTGTTGAAATCACTTTTGATTCTCAAAAGTGATTCCAGACAAGGGTTCACGGTCACCAAGGCAAAGGGAAGGCCTCCAGACTCGCATACCAGTCGTGTTTTGAGTCGACTCAAAACACACCTGATTCGGGACAGGGGTTCTCAGTCACCCAGGCAAAGAGAGAAGGCCTCCAGACTCGACTCATACCAGTCGTCTCTTTATCAGACTGCAATCGTTCGCGCAGGTGCCTCAAAAAACGCCAGTCAATACCCACTCTCGATCTGCGCTAACACTAGTGCCGCCCCCAAGCTTACCCAGTAAAGAAGAACAGCACGCCCAACACCGTACCTCTCCTACTCCCCTCTGGTCAGGAGTACGCCCAGGCCCAGCCCGTGAGTGCCCTTTCAGCATACGTGCAACTGCGGGTTCGCGTGTAAACGCCATGCTGGGCCTCTCTTATCCACGCGCTCCATGTTTCTCCGCACGTCTCTTTTCACCCGCTTCCGCTACGCCGCTATGCTCTCACCTGCAGCACGCTCACGCCCAGCTAGAGGAAAGCCTCCACACCCATCGCCTGCTTTTGGTTCAGAGTCATCTCACACTCACAAGTTACACACACACTCTTGAGACGACTCGAACGTCAAGAGCTCAGAAAACACGCACGCACACATCCATTGCTCACCTCCATATCCAGCGCCTGTTTCTGATTCTTGAACCATCTCACAAGTTACAACTCCTGAGTTGCGACACCTCATACGTCATGAGCTTTGAGAACACGCATTCGCTCATTTATCGCCCACCTGCAGCACACCCAGGCCCAGCCCGTGAGTATCCTCCACGTCCAGCGCCTGCTTCTGAGTAATTAACCATCTCACAAGTTACAGCTCCTGAGTTGAGGCGCCTCATACGTCATGAGGTTACAGAACACATATTTGCGCATGAATCGCTAGCTCACCTGCAGCACGCCCAGGCCCAGCCCGTGAGTATCCTCCACGTCCAGCGCCTGCTTCTGGTTCTTGAAACATCTCACAAGCTACAACTCCTGAGTTGAGACGCCTCGAATGTCATGAGCTTAGAGAACACACATCACACATACACGCACACATCCATCGCTCACCTGCAGCACGCCCAGCCCCAGCCCGTGAATATCCTCCACGTCCAGCGCCTGCTTCTGCCCCATGATCACGTCGCGCAGCCGTCGCAGCTCGTCGCGCTGCGCCTCGCGAAGCTCGCGAACCGTCGCCAGGAACCGCGCGTGCATGGGCGTGCGGGCCAGAAGCGAGTCCCACTGCTGCGGGTTGGACAGAAACGCGCGCAGCAGCTCCTTGTCTCGCTCCAGAAAGCTGCTCTGGTTGTTATACACGTCCCCGGGCCCGCCTTCCGCTCCTGCCCCGCCTCCGCCTCCGCCGTCTCCCCCGGCTGTTGCTCCGTGGGCGGAACGCGAGGCGCTGTTTACTCCGCCCGGGGCTTGCTTCGAGTTCACTCTGTTGTACGAGCGCTCGCGCCGCTGCTCGCTTGGTGAATCCGCGCTGTTCACTCCCCCGCCCGCCTGCCGCGAGTTTATGCGCGCAAAGGCCCTTTCCGCCCGCTCTCCCCGCTCCCCGTGCCCCGCCCCTTCTCCGTCCGCGCTGTTCACCCCTCCCGCCGCCTGCCTGGAGTTAACCCGCCCATATGACCGTTCTCTCTCTCCATGCCCCCCTTCCCCGTCCGCGCTATTCACTCCTCCCGCCTGCCTCGAGTTTATCCGCGCGAACCCCCTTTCCGCCCTCTCCCCGTGCCCATGCCCGCCTTCCCCATCCGCGCTATTGACTCCACCAGCTGCCTTTTTAGAGTTCACCCGCCCAAACGCCGACGAGTGCCGCTCCTCTCTAAGCCGCTCGCGCTCCTCCTTCTGCCTCTCCCGCTCCTCCCTATGCCGCTGCTCGTCCTCCGCGCTATTCACTCCCCCCGTCGCTTTTCTCGAGTTCACTCTCCCGAACGGGGACGTGTGGTGCGACCCCCCTCCCCCGCTATCCGCGCTGCTCACGCCCCCCGCCGCCTGCCGAGAGTTCACGCGCGCAAAAGCCGCCGCGCGCCGGTCCTCGTCCGCGCTGTTTACTCCGCCGGCCGCCTTTTTCGAAATCACGCGGGAGAAGGACGGCGGGTGCCCGCCGCCTCCGCCATCGGCGCTGTTAAGCCCGCCGGGGGCCTGCCGGGAGTTCACGCGCGCAAACGACGCCGCATGACGCTGCTCCTCCTCCAGCGAGTTGATCCCCCCGGCGGCTTTTCTCGAGCTCACGCGGGCAAAGTTCGAACCGCCGCCGCCGCCGTCCGCGCTGTTGAGCCCGCCGGCCGCCTGCCGCGAGTTCACGCGTGCGAAACGATGCGCCGCCGCCGCCGCCGCCCCCTCTTCCGCGCTGTTAATCCCGCCCGGCGCCTTCCTCGAGGCAACCCGGCTAAACGGTGACGACGAGGACGATCGCGACTCACCACTACCACCACCACTTCCCGATCCACCCCCACCCCCGCCCCCTCCACCTCCGCCGCCGCCGTGTCGGTCAATCCAGGACTTGGACGAGACGATGATCTCGAGGAGTTGTTGCTTGCGTAGGCGCCACAGCCCCTCCTTGTCGCAGAACATGAGCGCGAGGAGCTGCAGCGTCTCGCGCTTCTCCTGGTTCAAATCGTCCTCCGTGAGGTTGTGCGTGAACAGCGCCTCGCGGAATTCCTGGGGGTAGAGAGGGGGAGGGTGAGAGGAGCGGATGGGTTACGGGAAAGGAGGAGGGGCGTGGAGGGGACGGGAGAGGTGGAGAGAGGAGGTTGTGGTTGGGCATGTGGTTGAGCAAGCAGGTAGGAGGAAGCGAGTGGGAACGGCGGCTATAGCGACGGAAGAGAGAATAAGGGAGGGTGACGCATGGAGAGTGCCGGAGACGCGAAGGGGATAATGGAAAGAAAGAAAGAGAGAGAAAAAAAAACGAGGTCTGCAGCAAATGATTATCCTCATAAGCCGTGCGCTTCTAGCACCGACTCGGAAAAAGAACAACGCGTACACAAAACCGATAACGACGCCCTTTCTCTTCCCCGTCTTGCCGCAAAGGAAGAAGAGACCACCACAAAAAGAGGAAAAAGAGGAAAGCATGTCGAGCTGCCACAATACCTTTAGTATGTTGGGATGGTTGGCGCGAACGTTCTGCATGTACTCAAAGACGTAGAAGCGATTGGAGGGGCTGTCCTCGAGCGTGCTCCACGCGTCGCGGTGCTTCAAAAACTCCTTCACCGTGTTCACATCCTGCGACGTGAAACCCAGCTGTCGCGACAGGCGCCATGTCTTCCAAGTAAACCCCTCGTCGCCGTAACTGAGGTTCACGCCGCCTCCCGAGCCTACCATGCTTTCGGACCCGTGCTCCTTAGCGCTTCCCCCGATGCCTAAATTGCTGCGGTTCTTCTTCCACTTTAGGAGGTCTTTTCTAAATTTGGATGCGCTGACCTCCCCGTCCATCTCCATGTGATCGCTATCCTCGTCCGCGGAGTGCCGCGGACGCGACGGTTCGGAGGACATCGATCTAGGGACGTCCATAATGGAAGGATAGTTAGTAAAAGTAAAAAGCTGCCTTTTCCACCGATGGTGTAGGAACCACCAAAAGAAGCGTAATCGGCAGCGTTATTGTCAACAGTCAGGCCTGATTATGTCAATAATTCACCCAGTCTGCTTCCAGAGAGCCCAGTGAATGAACCACGTCCCGGAAAGAATGTCCGAAAGCCCGAACTCTTTAAAGTGCCGTTCAACTGCCGTTACAACAACGGATACCACCACCCACTCGAACGACCCTCGGTTCCTCTATCCCTAAGTGGTCTGGAATAATCTAGAACATAACCCCGCCTGCAGAGACCTACAATTTCCCTCCCCACGGAACAAGGTCGTCCTTACTCTTTGCTGAGTCAGATACCAGTAGAACCAAATCGGCCAACCAATCTGCCACAAAGAGCCTGAAAGGAACGCCTCTCTTCTCTCCTAAGTATTGAGATGGAGCTTTTATCGAACATCGTACCCCCCCTACTCATAGACCTACTTCGATGGAGCACGCAGTAGAGACTATATGACACACTCTAAGTCCGATCGAGAGAGCACCAAACAGAGACCGGAAGTTGAAGAAAACTGGAGACGAGCCGTAAGGGTGTTAGAAACTAGTCGTTAGGTAAGAAAGAGCAAACAGCGAAATGGGCGAACAGATCGGAGGTGCGCGAACCCACACTTCGCCACAAACTGCGAACCTCGAGGAGCAGCCGAAGGGAAAGGAAAGGAGCATCAGCAAAAATGGAGCAGCAGAACAGTAACAGAGAAGAGGAGGAAATCTAGGTTAGCGCGCAAACCTCGAGGTAGGAAACCAGTGAACAAGGCAACGCGCAAACCTCGAGGTAGGAAACCAGTGAACAAGGCAGCGCGCAAACCTCGAAGCCAGCAACTACCAGATCCCAAACACACATCTCACCGTACTAAAACGTGCAATAACGTATCAAATCCTTGACAACAACACACAACCGTTCTGTTCCATTGTCTTGCAGTTGGTCCTTGGGTCCCTACCTCCCTTTTCCTCCACCTAATTGGATGAGAGTTGTGGGGTGATTCACGAACTTCTCGGCACTGTACAGAGAGGGTGGAGAAAGGCGGGAAGGGTTCCAGCACCCCCACATGCGTCGCAGGTGAGTCGCAGGGAGGATGCGCGAAGAGACGAGCTGTCGTGCGACGATGGGAGAGGACCCAAAATAAGGACCCAAGGCTTCGTTAGATAATCGCATATGGTTTCGCACATTTTCGACAATGGAGTCGGTTTCGTTGAAACTTTTGTGGGATAGCATAATGCGGGGCTTCGCCGCTGTGCTCCGCACGATGCTGAGAACCTAACGGTCCCTTGGCCTACCCACCAGTTGCCAACCAATCGGGGAAGGCTAAGCAAACGACGCCTCAATCCACAGATTGAGATCGACGATCAAAATAGGTTCCGACTGCGGAAGCCTCATGCGCAAGCTGCGTGCAAGGGGGAGACTGTTCCACAAGGGAGTCAGCTGGACTGCATGCCACGAGTGCGCGGACGTGCGGCTACCAAATAGAACCTGCCGTGCTGTAAGGAAAATTCCTTTTCCTTACTTCGCGTCCCTACTGAGCGCGTACGCCACCGTTTCCCGCCAACAGCACCCAGCAATAATCCGTTACCACTCGCGACACTCGCCTCGACACTGTTCCCGCCACTGTTCACGACGCGACCCAACCTCACGGTTCGGTTGGTAACCCGCGCTCCGGACCTCCGCCTCGACAATTCCCAACCTCGGCGCTAGGCCCGTCGCGCACCCCAATTTCCACACATTACCGTTACCACTGTAGTTTCGCCAGCAATCGACGGTGAATGCACCAACACCAACACATGCACCTGCAAATGCACCTGCACAATCGGAGGAGCCGATCGTCATCTCATCAGGCACACCGACACAGAACGACAGCGTGGGACAACGCTCAAGCGTAGCCAGTGATGGTGCCGCTCACTCAATGCCTGGCATGGAGAGAAATAGGGCCGCACCAAGCCTGCGTGAGCCTCGCGAAGCTCGTCGGCACGTGGAGTTTGCAGCAACAAGCGGCAACCACGACATCATGGCACCAATGCCACTCAAGCCGCAGCGCCCGCCCGCCGAGTTTCGATCCAAGCCAGCGTGGAGGTCCGACGGTTCAATCGTGGGTCTTCACGATGAACGTTTTTTTTTACGCGAATTACGTCGAGTCAGACGCAGCAAAGATTCGCTACGCTGTTTCGCTGCTGAGGGGCCCCGCCATGGACTGGTGGCCACATGCCTACGAGCCACCGTCGCATGAGGAAGAGCCCACGGGCCCAGCCGTCACCTGGAGTTCATTTTGCGAAACCGCCAGTACAACACGTGGGATGCGTGGTGCGCAGGGCTTCGGGCGCGCTTCGAGCCGATCGCGGATTCTATTTCGACGCGTCAAAGACTGCGTACTTAGCGGCAGCTCGGATCAGTTCAAGACTACACGAGCGGTTTTCTCGCATTATACGAGCAAGTCGGCTACATGCACAAAGCGGAGCGGGTGGACCGTTACGTCGGAGGGCTTAAGCCGGACATCTCGCACGAAATCATGCTACGCGGGCTCTCGAATTTTAACGAGATCCTCACGCTCGCCGAGAAAATCGACATTTTGCGCCGTCCGAGACCGGGGTCCTACTACGGACATCGCCCTCCAGGACCGATCGAGCACGCCACCGCACACGCCGTTGCGACGAATGCAGCTGCCGCACTGTTTAAGGGGCGCTGCTTTGCTTGCAATCGGCTAGACCATCGCAAGAGCGAATGTCCAGAAGAGCTGAGGCGCCGCGGAACAGAGCAGGGGAGGGAGTCTCAGAGGCAGGGAAACGCCAGCAGTCAGTAGAAGTTGGGCCAACTACTGACGAGACTGCCTGCTCGCCCAACCTCACCGACCCTCACTCAGTCACAGTACCGGTTCACGCTATTGATCGGGCTCGGATGAATAAGGAAGGTACAACGACGGATTGCCCAGTACTGATCCACAGGAAAATATAGGGAGCAGCAGTGAAGATTTTTAGAGACGGAGGCGCAAGTCACGGCTTAGTTAATACCGCGACTGCAAGGAAGCTGCAACTGGCACTTAGTCGGTGTTTACCGGAGATAGACGCACGCTTAGTTGACGGTGTCAAACATATATGATATAGCCTGTGTAGGCTGTAGTGGGGTAGACATTATGGGGTACAGTTTTTCTAGGTTTTCATACTTGTACCCATCTTCTTCCTAGTCCACATCATTCCTCGTACAATTCTCACATGGTATAGAGCGGGTTCCCTAGTGGAACCGTTTTTTTTTTTAGGGCCCACCATCTAATCTTTTTTTTTTCTGCCCTGCCCGAAGCGCGCTCCTTGCCCTGTCGCGCGCCTCGCGCCTGCCTTACCTGCGCCCCATGCGCCTGCCCTGCTATCGCGGCCCTGACTAGAGCCGTCGCGGCCCCTGCCGTCGCGGCCCCTGCTGTCGCGGCCCCTGCTGTTGCGGCCCCAGCAGTCGCGGCCCCTACCGTCGCGGCCCCTGCCGTTGCGGCCCCTGCCGTCGCGGCCGCTGCTGTCGCGGCCTCGGCAGTCGCGGCCCCTACCGTCGCGGCCCTTGCCGTCGCGGCCCTTGCCGTCGCGGCCCCTGCCGTCGCGGCCCCTGCTGTCGCGGCCCCTGCCGTCGCGGCCCCTGCTGTCGCGGCCCCTGCCGTCGCCCCCCCCCCCCCCCCCCCTGCCGTCGCGGCCCTGCATTCCGCCGTCGCGGCCCCTGCTGTCGCGGCCCCGCCAATCGCGGCCCCTGCTGCCGCGGCCCCGCCAGTCGCGGCCCCTGCATTCCGCCGTCGCGGCCCCTGCTGTCGCGGCCCCGCCAATCGCGGCCCCTGCTGCCGCGGCCCCGCCAGTCGCGGCCCCTGCATTCCGCCGTCGCGGTCCCTGCTGTCGCGGCCCCGCCAATCGCGGCCCTGAATTCCGCCGTCGCGGCCCTGCCCTGCCGTCGCGGCCCTGCCGTCCTGCCGTCACGGCCCTGCCTCCCTCCCGTCGCGGCCCTGCTGGAGCCGTCGCGGCCCTGCCGCCCTGCTGTCACGGCCCTGCTCGGCCGTTGTCGCGGCCCTACCTGCAGCTGCTGCAGCCCTTCCTACAGCAGCAGTCGCGGCCATGCCTACCGCCGCCCTTGGCGGCCCTACCCTGGTAAGTGCACCACCGCACCCGCGCTGCCCTTGCAAGCCGCGCCGCCCTGCCAAGTCGCGCTGCTCCTGCTGCTACTGCTGCTGCTAGGCTACTGTTGCTGCTCCTGCTGTCATGGCTAGCCCTAATGTCCTTACCTTTGATGCTGAGGGTCGAGCGGTCGATTTTGAGGTCTGGGTCGATGATCTGCAGCTTTTTCTGCAGTGTGACTCTAAGGACGGAGTCTCACTGTTCGACCACACGTCCGGCGTCGGTGTTGCCCCTGCTGCCGATGCTGACAGTACAGTTCGCTCATAGTGGACCACACGCGATGCTGCTGCTCGTCTAGCTGTCCGTAGTCACCTGCCGTCTGCCGAGCGCGCGCACTTTAGCCAGTACAAGACCGCTAGGACTCTGTACGACGCTGTTGTTGCGCGCTACTCCTCCCCTGCCACTGCTGCCCTTAGCCGCCTCATGCTGCGGTACCTGTTCCCTGACCTAATTGCTTTTGCCACGGTCGCTGACCTCATTACGCACCTCCGCAATAGTAACACCCGCTACCGCACTGCGCTTCCTGCCGAAATCTGAGCCGCGAACCCCCCCCCCCCCCTATGTACATCACTCTCTACTACCTCGTCACCCGGCTCCCTGACTCCCTTTGCTCAGTCAGGGACCACTTCCTCTCCCTTTGCCCCACCACGCTCACCGTTGACCTCCTCGAGGAGCGCCTCCTTGCAGCAGAGACGAGTATAGTCGCTGTAGGAGCCTCTCGTGGTGACCCTCGTGCCCCTTTCTTTGAGGGGTGCTCCCCCGTCCCTCTTTTGCCCTCTGTTGCCTC